CCGCGTTCTTGGAACGCTCTTCTCTGTCTCCTGGGCCCCTCTTGAGAACCTCTTGGGGTTTTCAAGGGCCTCGGCCCTCTTGGGGCCAGCTTGGGCCACTCTGGGGCCCTCTTGAAGCCATCTTGGGCCATCCTGGACGCTCCAACCTCTCGCGGAACGCCCCATCCAGACCCAGGGGGAGGGGGGAGGGAGAGAGGACGGCGGAGAAGGAGGTTTGCAGAACGAGCTCGTTAGGCCACTCACGCCCAGGGAGCCGGTTGGACTCATCCGAGCATGATCATAAGTAACTATGTGCGCATCTCTTGTGGGGCTTTGTGGCCTCTTGGAGCTGGTAAAGGTGTATGCAGCCAGCCCTAGCAGGACAGAGTGAGCTGCTGGTAGCCCGATTAGAGTACAAGTTGAGCAGTAGCCCCCCCCCACAACAAGGTGGCTCACTAGCGTTGCTGGGGCCCCTTTTGCAGTCGTAGGCACCCCCAGAAGGAACTCATCGCCGTCTCGTGTTAGCGCTGACGCCAACTCTAGTGGGGTCCTTTTAGTGCTGTAACCCTGGCTGCGAGGACGTCCATCGTTCGGACGTGCGCAGTTTTCCTTCGGCGAGGATTATTCAGGAGCATCATTGATCATTTGGCGAAAAAAAACGTACGAAATCGAACAATGCACGGGGACTGGCCGTCCGAGCGATGGCGAGCAGTATGGCAGCGCAGAAAGGTACGCCGAAGAGTCGAATCCCCCGCGCCCCTCGGGAATTCGTCGCCCTCCTGCAGGGCATTCGACTTTCCGCGGGGACAAGGGGAGGAGGGCTTGTGACGAAGGAGGGGAGAACTATCCAGGAGAGAAGAAGAAGAAGATCGTTCTCCCGCGGAGGGGGGAAAAGGAGGGAGGTTGGGAGGGAGGGAGGTTGGGAGGAGGTCGGAGGAGGAGGAGGAGGACGGGGAGGGAGACGAGGGGAAGGAGGAGGAGGAGGAGGAGGGGTGGCGAGGGCGAGGGTGGGTGGCGAGGGGGAACTGGAACTGGTACTGGGGAAGGGACAGAGTCAGAGGTGCATAGTCAGAGGTGCAGGGGAGGGGGAGGGCGAGGATATGGAGACAAACATTGCATAAACATGACAACTCGAAGGTTCGCGCGTTGTTCGTGGATCTGCGCTGGACCCCCCGGCCCTGGCGCGCGGAGGGCGCAAGGGGCGGCGCGCCGCCAGGGGGGTCCCAGCGCGGATCCGAAAAGTCCGCGCGGACCTAATGTTCATGCTTATGTCATTCTTCGTTCCCCTGGAGGAGGAGGAGGAGGAGGAGGAGGAGGAGGAGGAGGAGGAGGAGGAGGAGCAGGAGCAGGAGGAGGAAGAGGAGGAGGAGGAGGAGGAGGAGGAGGAGGAGCAGGAGGAGGAGGAGGAGGAGGAGGAGGAGGAGGAGGAGGAGGAGGGACGACGGCAACGGGCGCGACGAAACAACGGCGGCCTCGTCGCCGCCGTCGCCAGCGGCGGCGGCGGCGCCCGATCCTCAGGAGCGGGGCCTCCTGGCGCGCGCGGCGCAGGAGCGGGCCGGGCGCGTGCGCAGGGGAGGGCCTCCTCCTCCGCCTTTTCCTGCCGTAGCCCGCAGCTGTCGAGGAAGCTCTTCCACTCCACGCCTTGCTGGGCGCGGCACCTCATCAGCTTCTCGTCCGTCACGCAGGACGGCGGCGCAGATGCGGTCGGGATCCCGCTGCCTAGGGGGTCCCCTTTCTCCGCCGCAGTCACCTCCTCACCCTCCTTGCCCTCCACTGGGCAGGGAAGCTCTTGGCCTGCTCTGGCTGCGCGCAGACCTGCTGCTCCACTGCTGCTGCTGGGCTGAGAGGCCTCCTCCTCGGCGGCAGATATCGCCTGCCTCTTCTCGACCCAGAGGCTGGGGGGCCTCACGTGCACTCCTTCAGCCGCATCAACCTGAAAGGGCCAACCTGCTATTCCGTACAGTGCCTGGCTCGGAGGTGCACCGCCAGTCCCAGCATGGGGAGGTATGTTCGCCCGCGCCTCCTGCGCAGCGTTGCCCGCCGCGCTGCTGCCTTCTTTGCCCGCTGCGTCGGCGCTCTGCACTCCTGGCTCCAGAGCCCCGAGGCGCACTGGCCGGACCTCAACGCCAGGTTCAGCGCCGTGCCCTTCAGCGCCAACTTCTCGCCTTAGCCCGCAGCTGCCGAGGATGCTCTGCCACTCCTCGCCATGCTGGACGCAGCACCTCATCAGATTCACTTCCGTCACGCAGGCCGGCGGCGCAGGTGCGATCGGGAGCACGCTGCTTAGCGGCCCCCATCTCTCCTCCGCAGCCACCCCCTCATCTCCCTGGCCCCTCACTGGCCTGGGAAGCTCCTGGCCTGCTGCGCGCTGTCCTGCTGCGCCACCGCTGCTGCTGGGCTGAGGGGCCTCCTCCTCAGCACGTGGGGTGCTCCTCGCCGCGGCCTCGCCCTCGAACCTCAGCACCGAGGCGAGCTGCTCCTGCACCCTCAGCCTGGCTTGCCTCCAGCTGCTGCCGTGGTCTCTCTCACAGCACCCTTGTGGTCGAACCTCAGGAAAGGTCCGCGGCTTCTGGACCAGCCTGAAGCGCTCCTCCTCTTGCTGCCTGCGGATCTCAAGAACCACCGCCGAGTGCGGGTACACTGGCGAGGCCTCCACCACCCGCACACCCAGCGCAGCCAGTCCCTTGGACACCAGGAAGAAGTCGATGGTCCTCCCCGACACTGCGCACGTGGGCGAGGCAGGCCTGACCACCTTACCGTCGAACATGTCGGGCACCCCGCCCGCCTGCAGCTCTTCCTCCGTGAGGTTCCAGTCACCGCCCACTACGAAGTCCCTGCGGCACTGCCTCAGCCTCCTTGCCAGCATCCTGAGGCTGTACACGTTGCTCTCATTGAGGCCGACCCCCGCCTCCAGGTAGATGTTGGCGAGCAGGAAGCCGCTGCGCAGCACGCCCGACACCCAACACAGATGCACACGCCCAGCCACCAGCACCGCTGCCTGCTGGTCCTGCACCTCCGCCATGCCGTGGCTCCTCCTCACCATGGTGAGGAGGCCTCCAGTGCTGAGGCCTCCTGCCGCTGACGGCACCGCGGGCGTGCCTCTCGCCCGCCATCCTTGGCTTCGTAGCTGCGCCTCTGCATCACTGCTCCTTCCCTCCAGGAGCCTCGTCTCCTGGACCAGAATGGCGTCGCAGTCCTGCACCTCGCTCACCGCCATGCACTTGCCCAGGTTGCAGAACGCATTGACGTTGACTGTGCAGATCCTCCAGACCCCACACTTCATGCTAGGATTCCTCCTCCATCTGCTTGACCTCCGTCCGCATCTTCTTGGCGTCACCCAGCAGCTGCTCGGCTGCTTCCCTCTTGGCAGGGTCCTCCATCCCGCATGCGATGTCCTGCCACACCTGCTGCGCCGCCTGCGACACGCCAGGCCCCTCCTCCTTGGGAGCGTCCACCTGCTGCGCTGCCGCTGGCACCGCCGAAGGCACGGGGACCGCCGCAGCCGCAGGCGCGCGAGGGGACGCCCCTGCAGCGGCGGGAGCGCCAGGCAAGCCACTGAGCTCCGCCAGCACCTTCCCGAGCTTCGCGATCTCGTCCCTCGACAGGCGGCCGATCGCCTCCTGAATCGACTCCAGTGAGGCCGTTGGAGCCGCTCTCGGCTCGGCGGCAGCTGCCGCCGCCTCAGCCCCCTCGGCCGCCATCCTGGCGCGCTGAGCCGCCAGCGCCTCACGTGCCTTGGCCGCCGCCTCATCGCACTCCTTCCGCAGCAGCACCAACTTGTCCGCGAGGCTGACCGACTCGTTGATGGCCGCCACCGCCTTGGCCTTCGCCTGCTCCTCGCCAGGAGCGCATGGAGCCGACGCAGCGGAGAGAGGGGGCAGCAGTGCCGCGGGCAGCGCTGCGCAGGAGGAGCAGGCGGACATTCCTCCCCATGCTGGGACTGGCAGTGCACATCCGAGCCAGGCACCGTACGGAATCGCGGGTAGTCCCCTTCAGGTTGAAGCGGCTGAAGGAGTGCACGTGAGGCCCCCCAGCCTCTGGGTCGAGAGCGACTGCAGCATCGATACTGGGCCCGCCAGCCTGAGCAAGGAGCTGGACGACCTGGAGAAGGAGTGGAGCAAGATCTGGAAGGTGCAGTGCAGCCACGACGAGTTGGAGTGGCCGACCGATCTAGGTGAGCGCCCCCCCAGGCCCAGCTGCGAGGTGATGCGGGCAGTCCTGAGGTCCTTCAGGAAGGGCACAGCCACGGGTTTCGAGGCGATCAAGCCGAGGCAGCTGCTGGAGCTCAGCGACGAGGGGATAGAGACCCTCATCGACATTGTGGTGGCGGTCGAGCAGGCCGCGGAGTGGCCGCAGATCCAGAGCAAGATCGTGTTCTTGGCCAAGAGGCTGGGCGGCGTGCGCCCCGTGGCCATCGTGCACGTCCTCGCGAGGGTGCAGACGAGGTTACGCAAGCCCCTGGCGGAGGAGTGGGAGCGCAAGAATGATCGACCGTTTTTCTGGGCTGCGCGCGGCAGAGGCTGCGAGAGGGCAGTCTGGCAGCAGGCCGTGGAGTGCGAGTGGGCGACAGCAAAAGGGCGCGAAGCTGGCGATGCATCCAGCTGGGTCGCGGCCCTCATCCTCCTGGACCTGCTCAAGGCGTGCGAGCAGGTGCAGCATGGGCGCCTCATCCAGGCCGCCCGGCGGACGGGCTTCCCGCTCTGGCAGCTCAAGCTGCAGGTGAGTTTGTACCGAGCGCCCAGGTGGCTGGCGCGGTACGAAGCCGTCAGCAGCGCCATCTGCACCGAGCAGGCGGTGCTGCCTGGAGACGGGCTGGCGACGCTCATGCTCAAGATGCTGCTGCTGGAGCCGCTGGACAAGCTTCAGGAGCTGGTGCCCACGCTGGCGATGTCGGCGGTCGTGGACGACATCATCTTGAAGAGGGTGGGCGGCTTACAGCGGACAGTCAATGACCTCGCGCTGGCGGCCAGGCACCTCAAGGCACTGCTCGGAGAGGCCGACCTGGAGATCGCGGTGAAGAAATCCAGGGCGCTAGCGAATGTGCCAGCAGCGAGGCAGGAGCTCGAGAAGCGCCTGTTGAAGCCGCTGGGGGTGCGCGCCACGGGGCAGGAGAGGAACTTGGGGGTCGACTTCAGTGGGGGCAAGAGGATAGGTCGAGCTGTTCGTCATGACAGGATGGCGCAGGCGAGAGGCAGGCTGCGCAGGATCAAAGTGCTGCAGGTGGTCAAGGCCAAGCGGAAGGCCACCAAGAGGATCGTGAAGACGGGGTTGCACCCATGCATCGGGTACGGCACGGCCATCACGGGCTGCGCGGAAGGGGAGCTGGACCGCGCCAGGACCCTCACGTTCGTCGCGATCTCCAACACCACGGCGAGCAAGTCCAGGTCGCTCGGGCTCATGCTCCAGGCAGGTCTCGACCCGTCTACGACGCGACCTGCAAGCCGGTCCTGATGTTGCTGCGTGCGGTCTGGGAGCAGTGGGTGCCGCTGCACATGGTGTGGCAGGGGCTCGAGGACAAGCGGCCCGTGTCCTGGGCGCACGTGCAGGGCCCGTGCGCGGCGACGGTGCTCTCCCTCAGGAGGATCGGCTGGGACGTCGTCAGCGCCAACTGCTGGGTCATGGACAACGGCGTGGCCATCGCGCCCTTCGACTGCGCGCCGTGGGTCGTGGCCAAGCTGATGAGGAGAGCAGTGCAGCGCTGGCAGTGGAGGCAGGTCAGCAAAGCCCAAGGGTGCGCGCACTTGGCTGGTGGCGGCGAGCTGGAGCCCCTGGTCAGGCTCACCTCCTCTGGCTGTGCCAGGAAAGCCGACGAGCCACGCCGCGAGGAGGGGGCCCCTCGCACCAGGGTTCGGTTGACGGCGCGAGAGCAGGCCTATCTGAGGTCCCTCATCATCGATGGGCAGTGGACTCAGGCGCGCAAGGAGGAGAAGGGGCTGACGACCAGTGCTGAGTGCTTGAGGTGTGGCGCCAGGGGCACGCTGATGCACAGGCACTTCGACTGCCCGTGCTGGAGTGAGGTGCTGACGGTCCCTGAGGATTTGGCAGGCCTCCGAAGGCAGAGCGGAAAGCCTGAGGTGCAGCTGCTGCTGGAGAGGTGCCTGTGGCCGACACCACGGGGCATCTGCCGCCCGCCAGTGTGCAGCGACGTGTGCTGGAAGGGCGACCACGATGGAGGCACTCTTCCTGATGGTGAGCTGCTTCTCGACGGCTCGGCGTTCGAGGCGGACTACGAGGAGGTGGCGGCAGTTGGCTGGAGTGTGGTGGCGCTGCAGGCGCACAGTGACGGCTGCAGGGCTTCCATCGCTGGCCAGATGGAGGGCCCCTGCGTGGACATCAACGGCGGGGAGCTCACGGCGGTGATCATGGCGCTCAGGTTTGGCCAAGGGGTCACGGTGCTGGCGGTCGACTCCAAGTACGTGTACGACGGCTTCTACAAGGTCGGCAGGGCAGGCACCACGGGCTACGCGTACACGTGGGCTCACCTGTGGCGGCGAGCCTGGGACCTGCTGGACGAGCGAGGAGGGCTCGGGCATGAGGTCAGCCTCAGGTGGATGCCCAGCCACAGTACGCGGCGGCAGGTGGCGGCAGGCGAGGTGCTGTACAGAGATTGGTACGGCAACCGACTGGCAGACAGGGCGGCAAAGGCTGCGGCGGCCAGCGGGCGCCTCCCCGCGCGGGACAGAGGGCGCCTGGAGAGGAGCCGAGACGTGGTCGAACGGGTAGCCATGTGGTGCGCGGCAGTCGGCAGCTGGATCGACGGCAGCGACACCACGCACGGCAAGACGAAGGTGCAGCGAGCGCTGCCAGTGCGCAGGGAGCCAGCGGCGAGGATGGCCTGTGTCTGGCGGAGGCCGCCTGGACAGCGCCCCTGGTGCGAGGTTTGCAGATGGTCAGGCAGATCGGGCGAGTGCCCTGGCAGCATCGTCGCCGAGGCGATCAGGGCCAACAACAGGCTGAAGGCGCAGCAGAGGGCGTCGCACGACCTGGTGCTACTTGCGCCTGTGGATGGGAGGCTGCTGGTGCGCAGGATGCCGCTGGTCGCGTGCAGGGCGTGCGGGTTCACAGGCGCGGCCAGGGCGAGCTCCTTCCACCTCGAGTGCAGGAGAGCCCCGTCGGCTGCAGGTGCCGCCGCAGTCGCGAGGTTGAGGAAGGGGCTGGCTCCGAAGGTGGTCAGCGAGGTGGCAGTCAACATCGCGGCGCTGGCGGACGACGTGCAGGAGGGGAGAGGCCAGTCGCCGCGGGACATCGCAGAGGAGGAGGACGGCCACTCCTGGAGGCCGCCAGGAGGAGCTCCAGGTGGTGGGGCAGAGGAGGAAGCGGGCTCACTGCGTCCCCTGACCCCTGAGGGCTCCAGAGCGGCGGCTGGCCTGAGAGGACGAGCTGGAGGCAGGCGTGCAGCCGCGGCGCACCAGGCCGAGGCAGGTGACGAAGCTGGGCCTGCGGGTGGCGGCGGAGGGCCAGGCCCGCGGCGCCGCGCGCATGTGCGCAGCCGATCGCTGAGGCGAGCCGCGCTGACGCCGCCCTCGAGGTCGCCGAGACGGGCGGCCAAGGTGGCCAAGCAGCAGCAGGAGGAGAGCCAGCGGACGGAGGCGGGCCCTGCCGAGGGAGGAGACGAGGTGGCCACAGGTGCCAGCAGCGGCGGACCGCCCCCGCCGATGATGGCGGACGACGCGCAGGGGGAGAGGGGCCAGCCGCCGCAGGACATCGCGAGGGAAGAGGACAGCCACGCCTTGCGCACGCCAGAAGGAGCTCCAGGTGGCGGGGAGGATGTGTGCTTCCTGCGTCCCCTGACCCCTGGGGGCTACCGCGCTGCGGCTGGCCCGAGAGGGCGAGCTGGCGGAGGGCGTGCAGCCGCGGCGCGCCAGGATGCCGCGAGAGGCGAGGCAGGGCCTGCGGGCGGCGGCGGTGGGCCAGGCCCGCGGCGCCGCGCGGGTGTGTGCAGCAGCTCGCAGAGGCAGGCCGCTCCGACGCCGCCCTTGCTGGCGCCGAGGACGGCGGCCGAGGTGGCCAGGCAGCAGGAGGGCAGCCAGCGGCCTGAGGCGGGCCCTGCCGAGAGAGGAGACGAGGTGGCTGCAGGTGGCAGCGGCGGCGGATCGCCCCAGCCAAGCGAGGCCAGTGGAGTCCAGGTGCTGGCGGACGACGTGGAGGACTACAGCGTGGTGGCTGGCCCGAGAGGGCGAGCCGGCGGCAGGCGCGCAGCCGCGGTGCCCCATGCCGCGGCACGTGGCGCGGCAGGGGCTGCGGGCGGCGGCGGAGGGCCTGGCCTGCGGCGACGCGCGCGTGTGCGCAGCAGCTCGCCGAGGCTGGCCGAGCTGACGCCGCCCTCGCAGTCGCCGAGGCGCGTGGCCCAGGTGGTCAAGCAACAGGACGAGAGCCAGCGGCCTGTGGCGGGCCCTGCGCAGGGAGGAGACGAGGTGGCTGCAGGTGGTGGCGACGGCGGACCGTCCCCGCCGCGCGAGGCCACAGAGGTCAGGCCGCAGGAGGAGGTCCAGCCGCCTGCAGGGGAACCTGCTGCTCGATGCGAAGCAGGGGCTGCGGGCGGCGACGACGTGGCCATGGAGGGCGAGCTGCAGGAGGTGAGGCCGCCGCCCGCAGGTGGCTCTGCTGCTCGATGCGAAGCAGGGGCTGTGGGCGGCGGAGGCGGCGGGCCGAGGCCGCGGCGCGGCGCGCGGGAGCGCAGCAGCTCGCCAGGCTTGGCAGCCAAGGTGGCGAGGCTGCTGCGGGCCGCGCGGGGTGGGGCCTGGCCGACAGCCTCGGGCGCGTACCTGCGCCGAGGCGCGGGCGCGCGTGGGGCGCGCGCCTCGCAGGGGTGGCCGTGGCTCGACGCGGTCCGCCTCGCCCCGCGGGCATCCTCCTCCTCCTCCTCCTCCTCCTCCTCCTCCTCCTCCTCCTCCTCCTCCTCCTCCTCCTCCTCCTATTCCTCCTCCTAGTTCATTCTCCTTTTCCTCCTCCTCCTCCCCAAGCTTCTCCGCCCTCCTCTCCTCATCATCCGCCTTCCCGCCCCCTCCTCCTCCTTCTCTCCTCCTCCTCCTCCTCCTCCTCCTCCTCCTCCTCCTCCTCCTCCTAGTCCTCCTCCGCCCCGAGGGGGGCCCTCCCGTAGGGGAGGGGTCGGGACCCCAGGGTCCTCCTGGCGCAGGCGGGGAGCGCCGGGCCCGAGGGGCGAAAATCCCCCGCACCCCGGGGGGCGCCGCCAAAGTGCGGCTTCCTTCCCCCGGGGGGGTCGCCAGGCCCCGTGTGCTTCCCCAGGGCGGTGCTGGGTCCCCCCCAGCACTCGCCGCCCTGGGGCGGGGCTGGCGGCTCGTCTCTGTCGTGTCGCTCGTCCGTCTCGTGTCGTTCGTGTCGCGTCGTTCGTTTCGTCCCCCTGTCGTGTCGCGTCGTGTCGTGGTCCCGGGGCCCGTAAAACGCGGCCACCCACGGAGTGGGTGGTGGGTAGGGTTGGCGCTGAGCACGGCTCGCGCCCCCTACCCCGACCAGGGAGCGCGGAGCACGGTCTCCCTGCGCTTCCTGGTCGCGCTTAGGTCGCGCCACGGGGGCATGGCCCCGACCGTGGCGCGGCCTGCGCCGTTTTGCGCCCTCAGGCGACTGCCAATCGCCTGTTGAATTTTGGCTTTGCCTCATTGAGTTGGGGTCTGTGGCTGTGGATGTCAAAAATCCGAGTCCTCCTCCTATTCCTCCTCCTATTCCTTATGTTCCTCCTCTTCCTCCTCCTCCGCCTTTTCCTCCTCCTCCTCGGCCCTTTGGGCTGACTGCCCGCACCTGGCCCGAGCTGGCCGGGCTTTGGTGCAGATAGACAATTTCGGCCGCGTGCAGGCGGCTGCTTACGGGCCGGTTCCGAGGTCTGCGGCTCCCATGCCACGGGCTAGGGATGCCGAAGACCTTGCGCGGAGCATGCCAACGCAAGTAGCCCTCCCCTCTTTCACGTTGTACGTTTAGTGTGCTGGGGCTGTCAGCGCGGTCCGACCTGGGGAGGGAGGTGGGGCTGGATCGTCGAACGGTCGAGCGCATCTCTGGGGCCAGTTTTGGGCCGCCTTTCAGGGTTCGGATTGTGAAGTGCACAAGGCCCGCGCACACTGTACGCGTGCGCGGGCGGATGCAGGTCAGTCCACGGAGTGGGAGCGCCGAGCCAACAGTGCGGCGGACGAGTTCGCAAATCGTGGGGCGGCAGCCCACGGCATCGACGCAAGTTTTCTACGAGATGTGGTGCGGCCTGTCAGAGTGCGCGCGAGAGGCAGCCGTTTGGGCGGCAGAGGCACACATCGAGGCAGGAGGCCGCGACCATCATAACTTCATGGATCAGTATGCGGCGACCCGTGGTGATGATGATGATGAAGATGATGAAGGATGATGAACACGGGAAGGAGGAGGATAAGGATGAGGACGATGATGTTGATGATGATGAGGAGGAGGAGGATAATGTGGAGGATGAGGAATATAATGGGGATGTTGATAAAAATGATGAGTATGATGAGGTTGATGACGTTGGTGATGATGGTGGTGGTGATGACGATGCGGCTGATGATGTACTGATGATGCTCATGACGATGTACATGAGGATGCTGACGATGACCATGCTGGTGATCATGATGATGCTGGTGTTGATGATGATGCTGATGATGATGGTGATGCTGATGATGATGACGATGATGGTGCTGCAGATGATGATGATGATGATGATGATGATGATGAGGATGATGATAGTGAGGATGATGATGATGAGGATGAGGATCGTGAGGATGATGATGATGGTAATAATGATGATGATGATGACGACGATGATGATGATGCTGGTGATGACGATGGTGATGGTGATGGTGATGGTGTTGGTGTTGGTGCTGGTGATGATGTTGATGATGATGATGCTGTTGATGATGCTGATGATGATGGTGGTGTTGGTGATGATGATGTTGATGATGCTGATGCTGATGATGGTGATTATTATTATGTTGCTGCTGAATGTTATTATGACGAGGATGATGATGATGATGATGATGATGATGATGATGATGATGAGGAGGAGGAGGAGGAGGAGGAGGAGGAGGAGGAGGAGGAGGTGCAGGAGGAGGAGGAGGAGGAGGAGGAGGAGGGAGGGGAGGAGGAGTTGGAGGAGGGGTCCCCCTGATTGGCGGCCGCGCCCAGCTCCTCTCCCCTGGAGGGCACCCCTCGGCAGGAGGAGGACGACGCGCAGGCCGTGCGCGAGGTGGCCTGGGGCCCCGCCGTGGAGGGCCAGCAGCCAGCGCCGAGGCGCGCGCGCGGGTGCTCGCGCGCTCGCGCCTGGTCGGCGGGCGGGTCGCCGTCGACGACGACGACGACGACGACGACGACGACGACGACGACGACGACGACGACGGCGCGGGGGTGCTCGCGCACTCGCGCCCAGGCGGCTGGGCGGAGGCAGATGGTCGGGGGAGGAGAGCTCAGACATGCTCGCGTGGTGAGATCAACACGACGACGGAAGGTGTTTCGCCGTGTTCGGGCTCGGGGGGCCCTCGCCGGGCCCCATGACCGTCGGAAAACGGCCCGGGATGAGACAACGGCCCCGGGGAAGGGGTCGGGACTTCCAGGGATCCCGTGGTGAAAAAATCAGGTTATCGCATGATTGGGAAGTTTCCAGCACCGCTACCCTTGACTTGCCTCCTGAGAGGTCGGACGAGGAACAGACACCAATAATCTAGGCCTCCCAGATAGATGGGGTCGCAGGAGCTCAATTTTCTCCATAATTACCGACGTTGCTGGTGCATCGCCGATGCACTGGCGATGCACCGGCGACGCATCGGCAATGCGGGGCGGTGCTCCACCCAACCCCATCCACCCGGACCCCATCTCGGAGGCCTCTAGATACGGCTACCCTTGCCTCGTTTTTGCCTTATTGGGCCTTTTGGGAGGCCCTCGTCGCCACCACTGGATTCGCCTGGAAATCCTGGTCGGAACGCACCCTGGGAAAGGTCCGGGGAGTACAGCGGTATCGGTACCTGTCGGTTTCCCCGAAGGGGGGGTGCAACATAGGGCAGGAGGCAGGAGAGGGAAGGAGGCAGGAGAGAGGAACAACGCCATACACGTGCACTTTCGGAGTTCCGCGCATATGTTCTGGATCGGCGCTGGGCCCCTCTGCGGGTGCCGCCCTGGGCGCGCTCGGCGCGCCAGGGAGCGGGTCCAGCGCCGGTCGGACACATCCGCGTGGAGCTCCGACAGTTTATATGATAAGGCGTTGTTGTGCACGTTGGGACAGCGACATGAGGGAGTGTTACACATTTATGGGTCAGCGTTAGGGCGTGGATAGGCTCAGGGGGGGATGCGGCGACCCCTGGTGGCTCACTCATCGCCGTCAGGGGCCCGATAGCCCACCCCACGCAGGGAGGTGCAATCTCGCTATCGGGGGCCAATCGCCAATCTATCAGAGATGTATCGCTGGTTCAAGCTCCATATCCCCCCCCCCGAGCTGGTCCCGCCCTGACGTTGCCCCTATCCGCCTTCCTACTGCGTGTTTTTACCTACTTTTTCCGGCCGACGTGCACTCATGCTGATCAATGGTTGGTGAGGGTTTGCGGGTTTGGGGCTCACATGAGTTAGGGAGTTTGCGGGGCTTGGGGGCGACGGTCACCCGTCCCTGTCCACTCTAGCTCCAGCTCTCTTCGTCTGCCAATCTCCCTACCTCCTCTTTTCCTTGTCCCCCCCTCCTCCAAGTAGACTCCCCTTTTCCTCCCTCCCCCAACTAACTACTATTTGTTGTTGTTGTTGTTGTTGTTGTTGTTGTTGTTGTTGTTGTTGTGGTTGTTGGTGTTGTTGTTGTTGTTGGTGGTGGTGGTGGTGGTGGTGTTGTTGTGGTTGTTGTTGTTGTTGTTGTTGGTGATGTTGTTGTTGTTGTTGTTGTTGCTGTTGTTGTTGTTGTTGTTGTTGTTGTTGTTGTTGTTGTTGTTGTTGTTGTTTTGTTTCTTTTAGTTTTTTTGTGTCTTTCTTTCTCTCTCTCTCTCTAGATAAACATTTATAAACATATAGCGGGGGCTGGGGGCCGGGGGCCAAGTTGCCCGGTTTCATGCGGCCGTTGTTCTGCCTGCCCGCGGTCGCCGCGGGGGAGCTTGGCACAAGCAGGATGGGCGGGCGCCGAGTGGCTCTTGGGACGCGCCTCTGCCCGTAGCTGGCCGTCGCGCCGGTGGGCTGGAGCTGGGGGTTGTACTTCACCCGGAAGGCCCACGAGCGCCTGCCTGGCGGCTGCGACGCCCCCAGGCCTGATCTGCGCGCGGTCGGCTTCTCACCGCCGCCCTCGCCGCTCGACGAGCCGACCCATTCCCTCTGCGTGGACAGCGCGCTCGTCGTGGGCACTGGCCGCGGGGAGGTGACGCGCGTCAGGCTGCTGGTTTCAGAGGCGCTGGGGGCAGCTGGGCTCGCCGTGCACGACGAGGCCGACGCCTCGGAGTCCATGGCGATGCTGGGCGGGCTGTTGGAAGGACGGCCCGCGCGCGCCACGCTTGCCTCGAATCGTTTCTGGGAGCTCTACCTGGGCTTGGGCTACCTGGTCCAGCGACGGCCGAGGGTCACCAGCCGTGGCATCGAGTACGTCCTCGGCCACTGCACCTTCGCGGCTTTCTGCCGTCGCGGGAGGCTTAGCTGCCCCAGCGCCGTCTACGCTTCTGTGCAGCAGGGCTAACATCGCGCTCGGCCCCTCTTGGGCTTCTGTGCGGATGGAGTTCAGGATCTTCCGCGGAGTGCTGATCACCCTCTGCGCCCAGCTCGATGCCTTTTGGTCACCGCAGGCAGTCGTAACCGATGCTTGCGAGACAGACCATGCGTCGATGGTGGCCGAGTGGAAGGCAGAGGACGTCATTGTTTCTGGCCGTTTGGCACGAGAGGTGGCGCTTCCGCCACGCCCGTGAGGGGGGCGGCAGTTGGCGGCCGCGCGACCGCGCGGCCCGTGCGGCCGAGGCCGCACTTCTCGAATATGATACTTCGTTCGCAGCGTTGAAGGGTGAGCATGAGAGAAAAATGCCAGAAGGGTTTGCGCGCGTCCTCCGCCGCGCCAACTGGAAGCTGCTGCACTACACCCCCCTATTCAGGAAGGAACCTATGCATCGTAAAGAAGCAAGATGAGATCTACACGCCGTCAAGTTGATTCTTTCGGGCGCGGATTCGTGGGGAAAGAGGCATGTGGTCTTGGGGTAATCTAGCGCTCACACTTGCACTTTCTAATGGTCGTCGCCGTGATATTTACTCGCTCAATATTCGTCGTCGATGGGGCCGCCCTCACCCTGGCCACGGGCGCCCAGGTTCACCGACGATGGGCGCCCAGCGAGCTGAACGGCGCCGATGGCGCCAGCGGTGCCCGCGAGCGCGCTGGCGGACACCGAGCACCTGGTGCGGGCTGGCGAGACCTTGCTGCGCAGGGCCGACAGCTGCGGCCGCGCCGCGCCAGCTGCAGCGGCTCGCAGGGTGCCGAGGGCCCCCCTGGGCTTGGGCCCCCCGCTGCCACCGCGGCCTGCGCGCGCTCCTCGGGCGCCGGCGGCTCGCCTTGCACGGCCGCAGACTGGGGCCGCCCAGGGGCCGACGCTCGCAAGAGCGGGGCGCCCGTCGGCCGATCGCGCGGCGCGCGAGCCTCCTGCGGGGCCGCAGCTGAGGCGCCTGGTCGCGCGGCCGTTCCTGCCGAGCTTCGCGCCGCCGCGCGCTTCCTCCGCCCCGCTGCGGGAGATGTCGAGGTCTGCGCGGCGGCGCCTGGACGATTTGGTGGGCCAGGTCCCCGCGTCGAGCAAGCTGGGAACGCCGGGGGCGGCCGCGCCGATGTTGGACGTCGCGGCGGCGCGGTTCTTCGACGAGCTTTGCCTGGCAGGGAAGGTTGCGTCAACGGGCGAGAAGCTCATCGCGGCAATCGCCATGCGCGCGCCCGACTACCAGAGCAGGGGTCGCCTCTGGCGTTGCCTCGCGCAAATCGCGCGCTGCGGGGCTGGCGGGTGCCGCGGCCCTCGCGGGGCAGCTTGCATGGGAATTGCGAGAAGGCTGTGGCAGATCAGCGGCGAGCCCCTGATGGCGCTGCACTGGCTACCGATGGTGGGCACCTACCTCAGGCCCGGCGAAGCACTTCGGTTGACCAAGGGCCAGGTGCTGCCACCGCAGGCGATGACGCCGAAGGTGACGATCCAAATCAACGCAGACTACCTCCGAAAGCCAAGCAAGACAGGCGAGATGGACGGGGCCGTCGACATCGCCCGTCCGTGGCTGGCCTCGCTGATTGTTTAAGCGGAGCCTCGGCGAGCCGACGGACCCGCAGTGGGGCTTCGCAATGCGCGAGGCCAAGAAGACCTTCGACAGTGCCGCCGGGTCCTTGGACCTTGCGGGACTGCGACCCGTGCTGTACATGGCGCGACACAGTGGAGGCTCGATCGGCGGGCTCACGGGGCGGATCTCGCCGGGGCAGGTGGAGGCAGCCTGCCTCAGTCCGCCGCCGCGAGAATCGTGGACTGGCGCTGGCGGTGTGGACGCAGATGACCGCGCGCGCAAGGAGCTACGCCCTGCGCGCGGAAGCCGAGCTGCCCGCGCTGCCAGCCGCCGCTTGGGCGAGAGGCTTCGCATGCCCCCTTCCCGCGCCAAGACAGGTCAGTTCTTTTTCATTGAAATCTTCTCTGCATCTGAGCACTTCTCGAAGGCTTTGAGGACGCGCGGTTTCTTTGTGTTTTCCTTTGATGCGCGGCGAGGCCCACGTGGGGGGCCCCTGAGAACCTCTGTCTCTAAACGCGTAATTCGGATGATTAGGGGCGACAGATGTCTTGGGGTTCTTGCAGGCTTCCCTTGCAGAAGTGTCTCGATTGCTCGCGGCGGCCGCAGCGCCATCCGTAGCAATGCCCACCCCGTCGGCCTTCCCTCGCCCCCTCCTCGTCTGCAAGCCATGGTTGACGAGGGCCTTAGTATACTACAGGTGTCCAGTTGGATGTTCAACAATTGTCAATTAATGCGCGCTTATGTTTTTTGATGGGGGGACCCACAGTCATCCTACACGTGGAAGCTCAACTCCGCCCGTCGTGTCCTTCGATGGTCGGGAGCGCAGGACACGATTCCGAATTATTGTGGCTGGGGTGCCCCGCGGTGCAACCCCGACCAGGTTTCGTGCGTTTCTTTTGCCTGGGGCCGCGGATCTTTCAAAGCGGTGTCACCCAATCCGAAGGAGATGCACGTTTTCTTGTAAGAAACACCAGATTCTCCAGGGCCGTGACGGCCTCGGTGTACACTGGACAGCTCGCGCCGCTGCATATCCGAACGTCCTCTCTAATGCCATGGCCGGCGTCTTTGTGGATGGCGCTTTTGACCGCGTCTTCAGGCATAATCTCCATCATTGCCCCTTTATCGCCTTCCCAAACCGAACATTTGACGGTCTTCGCTGAGCCAATTGCGATTTCTGGACGCTCGATGTCTGGCCATTCGTTCAGTTTCAGTTGTGTGTGTGTATTGTTCGCCGCCGCTGCTGGTCGTCGCTGCTTTCGATTGGGTTTTGCCCCACACGCGGATGACAGATAACATTGCTCTGAAAATCAAGGACGGGTGGGGCACTTCCGACTTGGTCCTGCGAGCGTGTAGGGGGTGATGCACAGAGTCCGTTCTTATTGCGAAAGCCTTGCGGCCGGTGCCGCCGACCCTGGAGGGCGACCCATGCGTCCTCTAACGTGGCGGAGGGGGGGCCTCTTGGGGGTCTCTTTGGGTCTCGTGTGGGGGGGGGGTCGTGTTGGGGCCGTTGTTGGCAATCGTGAGGCTTTCTCGGGAGCGTCTTTGGCCGACGACGACGTTGACGGCGGTGGCGATCTGGAGCTATTCTCAAGGGTCTCTCGGGGACTCTCTGGGGCTCTCTCGGGGCCTCTCTCGGGGCCTTCTTGGGCCAGTTTGGGGCAATCTTGGGGGCATTTGGGGCCGTCTTGGAGCGTCGGCAAGTTGAAGCGGCGAGAGCGCCAACATCTGTCAAAAACTTTTTAAAGAAATCATTGATTTTTCCGTCTTCGTGCCCTCTTGGGACTGCTCTTGGAGAGTTCTTGGAGCGTCTTGGCAATTTCTTGGGCCGTCTGGAGGCTACTTTGGCGTCTTCGACCGATGGTTGGGCGATTCGGGGCCGTCTGGGGCCGTCTTGGAAGCCTCTTGGTGCACTCTTGGCCTGTCTGGGGGCTTTTCTAGGTCCCAGGACATCCCGGGGGGGATGCGCATCTGCCCCCCCCCCTCCCCCCGGGACACCCCCCCCGGCGGGGAAGGGATCAAAGGGAAGGGGCTTCCTTCTGACTCGGCTAATTACGACGTTGCTCAATTTCGTTTTGCCTTCGACTCAGCTACGACGTTGCTCGATTTCGCTTTGGTTTCGCTTTGGCGGGCGCGCCTGAGGGGACGGCGACGACGACGACGACGACGACGACGACGACGACGAACGGAAGAGCATCGACGACGACGACGACGACGACGACGACGACGACAACGGCGACGACGACGACGACGACGTTCACGGCGAACGGAAAAGCATCTTCCACACGCCGACAGGGTCGGCGGATTTCGTTCAAGCCTCCCGCCCTGTTTCTCTGGCGCTCGACCTCCAGCCCTTGCTCACGGCGGGCCGCAAGCACATTCTTGAGCAGGCGATCTGTGCAGATCCAGTTGTGTATGTATCGTTTGGGTTTCACCCCACATGCGGATGACAGATAACATTGCTCTGAAAATCAAAGACGGGTGGGGGACCTCGTGATCATGATTCTCATGATTGCGACGATGGTGGTTATATGTGGTGGTGACGATCATGCTGGTAACGGTGATCGTGTTGCTGACTGTGATGATGGCCACGATGAGGACGTTGATGGTGATGCTGAAGGTCATGCTGATGGCGACGATGATGTTGATAATGGTGATGAGTAGGATGAAGGTGATTATGATGATGATGCTTGTGGTGAGGCTGATGCTGTTGATGATGGTGGGGATGATGATGTTGATGACGATTGATGTCCAATACCTGCTGAAACTACAAGTCCCCTTGGATCCAGAGTGTCATTAATACGCCAGCGGGCAATTTCTTCTTATGCTCTCTCTCTCTCTCTCTGTCTCTCTCTCTCTCTCTCTTCGCTCTCTCCTTCTCCCTCCCTCTGGTTTCCTCATTGCCTCGCTCCTCCTCCCCCCCGTTGTCCTCCCCATCTTCCTTCCCCTCCTCCTCCGCCCTTCCTCCAAACCCGCCTTCCCATAGTTCGTCCTCGACCGCGCCGTCGGTCTCACCCCCCATCTCGACGCCGCCCGCGCAGGGAACCGCCTGCCGACGCCGCCTCCAGACCAGCGGAGGACGGTTGCGCTCTTCTTGGCTTAGCGACGACGAGGGCGAGAAGAATACGGCCGCGACGCCGAGGGTGGGGACGATGAGGAGGGGACGACGACGATCACGACCCTGACCACGACGGCGACGACGAGGAGGACGAGGACGAGGACGAGGGTTGCTCCTTGCTTTTCTCCTGCAGCCGTCGCTGCTCCCTCCTGCTCCCCCCCCCTGCGAGGACGCCGGGCGCGAGCAGGAGGAGCGGGACGAAGACCCCGACCTGTGGTCGCCCCGGGGCGGCCGGGTGGACGGTGGGAGAGGGAGGGGGAGGAGTAGTGGTGTGGGGGGGCGGGAAGAGGGGGGAGGGGCAGTGGGGAGGAGGAGGTGGACGGAGAGGAGGTGGATGCTGATAACGATGATGATGATGGTGGTGGTGGTGGTGATGGTGATGATGATGATGATGATGATGATGATGATGATGTTGATGGTGGCGGTGGTGGTGGTGACGATGATGATGATGTTGATGATGTTGATGATGCTGATGCTAATGCTGATGACGATAATGCTTATGCTGATTATGCTGAAGATGCTGATTATGCTGCTCATGATGATGTTGATGATGCTGATGATGATGCTGATGCTGTTGCGGATGATGATGATGATGATGATGATGATGATGATGATGGTGTTGGTGCTGATGCTGATGATGATGATGATGTTGATGATGATGCTGATGTTGATGTTGATGACGATGATCCTGATGATGCTGATGTTGATTATGATGCTGATGATGCTGATGCTGATGTTGATGATGCTGATGCTGATGCTCATTATGCTCATTATGCTCATTATGCTGATGATCATGATGATTATTATGATGATGATGATGTTGATGACGCTGCTGATGATGATGATGATGCTGATGCTGCTGCGGATGCTGCTGATGCTGATGCTGATGCTGATGATGATCATGCCGATGATGATGATGATGATGATGATGATGATGATGATGATGATGATGATGATGATAATGATGATAATGAGGAGGAGGAGGAGGAGGAGGAGGAGGGAGTGGGGGGAGGAAGAATATGAGGCGGAGGAGTGCGAGTTTGAGAACGGGGATGGTGAGACTATGCGTGAAGGGGGAAGAGGATGGGAGAGGATGGGAGAGGAGAGGATGAGAAAGAGCTCGAGGGTGGGAAGGGGGAAGAGGAGGGAAATAGTGGATGAGGAAGGATAGTTCAGTGAAGGGGGAGTGGGAGGCCGAGGAGAAGGAGGAGAACGACGAGGTGGGGGTGCAGTGGGAGGAAGGGGAGGTGAAGGTCGCTGACAGTTCACTCGAGGTGGCTGAGGAGGAGAAGGAGTACGAGGGGCAGAACGGGAGGAGTAAATACGGGAGGAAGGCGTGTCGGAGCTGGAGGAGAGAGGAGGAGGATGAGGAGGAGGAGGAGGAGCAAGATGACAGGGAGGGGGGAGGACGAGGAAGAAGGACGAGGGAGGATGGCCGCAGGGAGGATTGCTCACGCACGGGGGAGGCGACACCTGCGATTCGAGGGCCCACCCCACATTGAGACCAGGGGGGACTGGATCGCAGGCGAAAGCTGCCAGGGGCCGACATGCTGCTGACCTTGGCGATGGTGGTGGTGATGAAGGTGGACATCAATCGACCGTGATGTGATGTTGACGACGATGACAATGCCGATGTTCTTGATGTTGGTGGTGACGATGTCGATGACGATGATGGTGACGATCTCGATGGCCATGGCGGTCCGTTCTGATGATGTTGTTGTCGATGCTTCCTGTCTCCGAGTATGGTCATGATCCCTTAAAACATCGCGCGCCGAGCTGGCGTGCTGGGCGTCGGGCCTCTCTCCAGCAGAGGCCGAGCCCCCAAAGCGGGCGCCCGCGGGGCCTGGCAGTTTGCGGCCCGCACGCACAGAGGCGCGATCACGGTAAAAGCAGATAGTCAACGTCAGAGATTCTCGGCTTATCATCACCCGATGTGATCCTTGTCTTGGCTTCGTCCTGGACGAACCACAACGTATCGCTGTTGTTCGCCGAGCGCGTTCCACTATTCGCAAAGCGCCTATTTGCAAACGGCGGAAAAGCATATGTTCGCCTCGACGTAATAGATCGTGTATTCCCCGCAGCGGGTTCGCGCCATTTGCGAGTAGTTACTTTGCAAGTAGTGGAGCGCGCTCGTTTAATTGCGTCCTCATCAGGACATTCGGTCGCAAATCATTGGATCCTTGCTGGCGTCGATTGGCGTCTGGGAAGCGATGAGATAGCGCCGATTTAGCGTCGACGAGCGTCGATTTCGCGTCGCTTGGCGTCGATTCGCAAGAGCCAGCAAGATGGTTTTGAAGGCTCCCATGAGTTGCCACCGAAAGGACACGCCGCGGCAGTGCCGGCCATGTTTTGGCGTATTGGCGGCCAAACCAATGCGGGGGGAGGGGCCGACATGACACGACAACTTACGCGCCAGCACACAGTCATCCCGCATAGTAAGCACGAGCCACCCTTGGCGACTTGCCCCGTTGACCCACCCTTGGCGACTTCCGCTGGCCAACCTCGCTCGAAAACGTTACAATTGGTCCCCCACGGCCTTCACCACGGGCACCCGCGAGGGCGCGAAGTCATCCGCGCTTCGCGCTCCGCAGCTCGGCTCCGGTCCCTCCTCGTCCTCCCCCTCCTCCTCCTCCTCCTCCTCCTCCTCCCTCCTCCCTCCTCCTCCTCCTCCTCCTCCTCCTCCTCCTCCTTCTCCTCCTCCCTCCTCCTTCCTCCTCCTCCTCCTCTCTCCTCCTCCTCCTCTCCTCCTCCTCCTCCTCTCCTCCCCCCGGGAGGCGGCGCGAGAGCGCGGAGCCATCCGCGCCTCGCGCCGCGCGCAGCGCGGCGTCGGGAGCCCTTTTGCCTACACCTTTCTACCGCGCACCCTTCCTGCACAGTGCCGGCGGTAGCCTCGAGCACGCCACCTTGGTCCTCGACGCGGGCCCGGGGCGCGGCGGGGGCCCTCCAAAAGGCCGCGCGCCGCCCAGGTCCGTCTCTCGCGAAATATCTCTCGCCGCGAGAGGTCGGGTGCGCTCCTTTCTCCTCCTCCTCCTCCTTCCCTCCTCCTCCTCCTCCTCCTCCTCCTCCTCCTCCTCCTCCTTCCCTCCTTCCCTCCTCCTCCTCCTTCTCCTCCTCCTTCCCGCCTCCTCCTCCTCCTCCTCCTCCTCCTCCTCCGAGAGAGAGAGAGAGAGAGAGAGAGAGACCGGTCCTGGCCTTGCCGGTGCGACGACGAGCTCGACGCCCCACGGGGCCGGGGCCAGGGCCCGATGAGGAGGATGAGGGGGGGGGATGCACCGACCTCTCATCGCCCAGTGATCGCCGATCGGGGTCTGATAGCCCAGCCTGCCCAGGAGAGTTCGGACTCGCGATCGGGGGCGCATCGCCGATCCATGGGCGATGTGTCGCCGATTCCAGGTCGATGCTCCCCCTCCCTATGCCAGTCCCCTCCCCAACGTTGCCCCTCATCTGCAGGCATGCCAAAATTGGGTCCGAGCAGATGGGGCTGGAGGATCGCGCCGCATCGCCAATGCATCGGCGGTGCGCCTCGAGGGGGACCTCAGTGGTATCCACGCCGACGTTGCCAACGCACCGCTGATGCATCAGCGATGCATCGGCGAGGAGGCGCGGAGGAGGAGGAGGAGGAGGAGGAGGAGGAGGAGGAGAGGAGGAGGAGGAGGGGGAGGAGGGGGAGGGGAGGAGGAGGAGGAGAGGAGGAGGAGGAGGAGGATGAGGAGGGACCCCATTTGCTCGGACCCCATCCGAGAGGCGTCTAGTCCATACGCCGCGCCGCCCGGTCGTCGCCGCCGCCGCCGTCCTCGTCGGCGTCGCCGCCGTCGCCGCCGTCGTCGCCGCCGCCGTCGTCGCCTCCTCCTCCTCCTCCTCCTCCTCCTCATCCTCCTCCTCCTTCTCCTCCTCCTCATCCCCTCCTCCTCCTCCTCCTCCTCCTCCTCCTCCTCCTCCTCCTTCTCGCCCCCGGCGCGGGCAGCTCTCCTGGATCCGAGCCCCGCCCCGTCGTCGCCGTTCCGTGATGACATCGACTGTCTTAGCAAGCACCTTAGTTGAGAGAGTGTCAAGGCACAATGGAGCCCTCCTAATTATCGTAGCGGACCTCTTGCATGACGAATGCGTTCGGGATGCTTTTCTCGCGTGTGATCCTCGGGCCGGCCCTCCGCGCAGGCTACCCCTCTCAGACATGGGCCCCCCAGGAGTGCATTGCCAGGCAGATCCCAGGGGACGCTCAGATCGTTGAAGACTCCGACGACGATGAGATGAGGTTAGTATGTAATCTGGAAGGGCGCTCCATGCGTTTAGACACCCTGCACAAGCTTATTATCCATCAAGTGCGCCTGCCCCAAGCGAATCCCCCATAGTAGATGCGTATGATGCTGAAGAAGAAGCAGCCCACTTTCTCGGTACCGATTGGAATGATCTTGTCCCCCTTAGTACAGCAACTATGAGTCTCCGCTCTGGCCGCCTGGAGCCGCTTGAGCTCTTGGAGCACGCTGCGCACAGCGAGATTTAGGCCTCGCCCTAGCCACGGGTTTCCGCACGAATGGCAAAGTCGACAGCAGCACATCATTACACGCTGGTCGTTCAAAGTAGGTATTTCTGGATTCCCAGATCCCAATCTATTTCAAGCGCCTTCCTACTTCAAGAATCGACACGCTTTTGCTGTGTTTTGTGATTCTCTGGGAGGACCTGGACCCAATCCACTACATCCGCCTTCCTACTTCATGTTTCTACCTACATCTTCCGATCGACGTGTACAGCTCTGAAGTGTTCAATGTTCCGACCCAGATTCGACGCCTTGCCGTACATCCCCACCGTGCCATCATAGCCTCAAGGTGGACGTAACAAAAAAACGGCGTCGTCGCAGGTCGCGCCGTCGCCGCCGACGCGCCCGCCGCCCGCCGCCGCTGGCCCGCGCGCGTGGGTCCGCAGGTCGCTGTGGAACGTTGGCGCGCCCGGGCCCCGCTCCGGGGGCGTCGGAGCCCCCCCCTCCGCTCGCGCGGGGCCGCCAGGGTCTCGGCCGGCCGGCCGGGCCTGCCCCCCTCGGGAGGCGTGTCGGACGTCTCCTCCGCCATCGGGGAAGCGGGTCCTCTCGCCGATTCATCGGCGATGTTGGGTCCAACCCAGTGGCTGCGACGGCGCATGTCTGGAGAAGCGCCCGCAACGGTCGTCAAGTCGGGCCCGAGCCTGCGCTCGCTAAGGCGCAAACAATCGTCAATTCAGCTCCAGCACTTTGCACGTCAAGACGAGAGGAGCTGCCAACTCGGCCCCGACACCTTGTTTGTCAAGACCGAGGTCGTTTTTCAACTAGCAGCCCGGCCCCGACGCTTTGTCGGTCAAGACGGAGGAGGCGGCGAGGGAGGCCGTCAGGGGGGTTCGTCAATTCGGAGGGAGGCCGTCACGGGGGATCGTAACCCAAGAGGGAGGCCGTCAAGTGGGTTCGTCAAGGGGGTTCGTCAATCTGGAAGGAGGCCGTCAAGGGCGATCGTCAACTCGGAGAGAGGCCGTCGAAGGGGGTTCGTCAACTCGGAAGTAGTCGGCCGTCCAGGAGGTTCGTCAACTCGGAGTTGACGGCCAAACTCTTTCACTAAGATGGAGTTGGCGGTTCAAGCTCTGGATAGAGTATACATGGTCATCCGTCGTGGCGTCCAGGCCCACCTCCAGACCTGCCGCCCGCGACAGACTCAACGGCGATGTATACGCAGCCGATCCCAGGTCGATGCATCGCCCCCTCCGCCAGTCCCCCCTTATCGTTGCCCCCCAGCGCCTCCTTCGCCGTGACCGAGGGAAACGGTTCCTGAGGTCTCTCACCGCTGTCGTGCTTTCTGGGGCCCTCGGGCCCCGGGACCTTTGTGGGCCCCGGAAACGGCAGGGCCGTTTCTTCACCGCTTCCCCAAAAAGGTCCCTTGAAAATGGAAACAGCAAAAAAACGGCGATTGGAAACGGCAACAAAAATGGCTCCAGGATTGGAACCGCAGCCGGAACCGGTCAAAAAACGGCGACGGAACCAGTCAAAAAACGGCTTCGGAACTGGCGAAAATACGGCAAAACGGAATTGGTAACAAAACGCCCCTGTCGTTTCCAGGGCCCACTGAGCCCGGGACCGGCAGGAAGCGACTCGGCATGCAGAGCTGTCTTGGGGGAAGGCCCCAGGGCCCTTGACCAGGACCCATTTCGGGCCGAACCAAAGTCGGGTACAGCCAGGACCCCGGGTAAGGGGACCCGGTGAGTGGTAGGGCCCCAGAGTTTGTGAAATTTGCCAGAATCACTAAACCAGGTCTGCCGTCCTTTGTGTTTTTGTCAGGTGACGGCAGTTCCGGTTAGTGGAACGGGGCGGGGGGGCGTCCCCCAGCACACATCACTAAACCAGGCCCTACCAAACCCAGTTCTGCCAACGCCCGACAAAGGGGGGGATAGGGAAAGGGGGGTTACGAAATCTGCTGCACGCAGCTGGTTTCGGCCCCGCTGCTGGGCCCATTCCTCAAACACATGGGCGCCTCCTGGCGCTGGGAGGCGCCGGGAAAGTCAGCTGCGTGAGCCGATTCTCTACCCTGCCCGTGACTATCCCTCCCTTTCGTTCCCCCCGACCGTTTCCCTCATGCTAACTCTGGGGGGCGCTGCTTTGGAGGGCTCATGCAGGTCTCCCAGCCGCGGGGTGCTCTCCTGCAGCTGCGCCTCGCCGTGCTCCATGCGGACAGCACGTGCACAACCCCCCCAGCGGATTCAAGGGGCGGCGGTTATTGTCCCAGCCAGGGTAGGCCTCTTAGATGGGGTCCGAGTTAGATGGGGCTTCGCTGACGTATCGGCGATGCATCGGCGACATCGGCGATGCATCGGCGACGTCGGCGTGGGGAAACACCAGCTCCACGTCGAGCCGCGTCATAGATGAATCGGCGGTGCAGCGCGATCCTTCGACCCCATCTACTCGGACCCAATCTAGGAGGCATCTATCAACGGGCCCTGGCGGGAGCGTCAAAAACCGATTCAGGACGAAGACCTGGCCGTAGGGGAGTTGTCCAGGCCTCCCGGGCATTCACGCATCGGAACAATTGGAGCGTCAGAGCCTCTGGGGAGGATGCATGACATCGTCGATGTTTTTTATTGAATGGTTTCGCTCATTCCGCCGGCCTGCACAGCCTCATCTTTGCCGTTTGCCCGAGGGCTCGTTGTCAATGCAGCGCTATAAGGGTCTCTTGGCAAGCGTCTCGAAAGCCTTCTGAAGGCAGTTTTGAAGCCTCTTGAGGCCTCTTGCGGGCCGTTTCCTGGCCCTTGGGGCATCGTTTTGGGCCTCTTGGGGGCTTCTTGGGGCCTCTTGGGGGTTTCTTGGGGGCCTGCTGGCGGTCTCGGAGGTGCTCCGTAGGGTGGAAAGAGTGAAATGTCATTTCGAGGGCCGTCTTGGGCCGTCTTTGGCGCCGTCTTGGGCCGTCTTTGGCGCCTCTTGGGCCGTCTTGGGGCGCTCTTGGGCCGTCTTGGGGCCCTCTTGGGCCCTCTTGGGCCTATCTTGGGGGCTTGTTAGGCCTTCTTGGGGCGATCTTGGGGGCCTCTTGGGCAAGTTTGGACGCTGTGAACCCCCAGACGTCGTGTATATGAAAAATTTACGTTTCCCTCAGGGAATGAAGTGATGTTTGCTTGTTGGGGCCCTCTTGAGGAGCCTCTTGAGGCTCTCTTGGGGCTTCTTGGCGGCCTCGAGGGCCGTCTGAAGGCCATCTTGGGCGTCTTGGGCCGCTTGTTAGGCGACTCGGAGCGCTCTTGGACTGTCTCGGAGGCCTCTTGGGGCACTCTTGGCGCGCCCTGGGGGCCCTGAGAGACCGCACCCAGGAGAAACCATCTCTGAGTAACGGGTGGCCGGGCTGCGCCCGTGCGGCGGTCGGGGCACTTTTCGCTGCGGGGCCCCCAGGGGCCGCCCCGCGCGCGCGAACTAGAAATATCATTGACCAGTTAGCGGAGATCTTAGCACGCCTCTGGCCAGTCGTTGTTTTTTATTCGTTGAACTCGTAAGGTCCGTCGCGGGGGGGTCGCCCCCCGAACGCCCGTTACGCGGGGGTCGCCCCCTCTTCCCCGTGACGGTAACTAACGTACGGAGGGTGGCAGATAGTGTTGTTCTCACATGCATCGGAAGGCTTCAGACGCCTCCAGCGGCCTCCGGAGACGCTTGCCGAGACCTCTGGAGACCTTCTGAGGCGGCCGTCGTCGTCGTCGTCGTCGTCGTCGTCGTCGTCGCCGTCGCCATCATCGTCTTTCTCGTCGTCGTCGTCGTCGTCGTCGTCGTCGTCGTCGTCGTCCTGTCGTCGTCTTCGCCCTCGTCCTTGTCCTCGTCCTCGTCGTCGTCCTTGTCCTCGTCCAGCGCCAGGCATCTCCCTGCGGGGCCCGCCCACGGTATCGTTACCCCCCACGGGGCCCGACGAAATAAAAACACCATTCGAAATGAGTACGGCGGGAGGTTTTTGGCAGTTTTCAGCCTCTGGCATTCATCCGGACACGTGGGTAGGGAAACAAAAAGTGGCATAAACATAAAAACTCGGAGGTCCGCGCGGATTTCTCGGATCGGCGCTGGGCCTCCCCGGCGGCGCCTCCGGCGCCGCCCCTGTCGCGCTCCGCGCGCCAGGGAGGGGGTCCAGCGCCGATCCGAAAAATCCATGCTTATGTCATTTTATGCTTTTGCATTTTTTTGCTTATGTCCTTTTATGCTTGCGCTTATGTCGAAAGATCCAGGGACCTCCGAGTTTTTATGCTGATGTCATTTTTCGCTCCCCCAGTGGGGCCGTCGGAACGGCTCTGGATGGAGAGACTGTCCTGGGGCAGGGGTCCAGACACCTTGGGGGCCACGTTGTCATCACGGCGTCGGATGCTGGAACTCGGGGGAACATCAGACTCGAGATCGCCCAAACTCGGGTTTGCCGTCGCGTTTCTGGCTTGAGGCGGCCTCAGGCTAATGTCGCGCCGGAAAAAACAAAATCTTCCCAAGGATATCTTTGTATCCTTGCCTCTTCGGTTCATCTTTATCCACTTTCGATAGCCAGCCCCGCTCGAGAACCTTCGGCAGGGGCGTCCAAGGCCCTTGCATCCTCATCGCGCATCCTCAGCATCAGGTCTGCCTGTAAAGACGGGGGCCAATGCAAACGGGACTCGGCCAGAGCGTTGGATCTTGCAGGATCCTGCAGAGCCAGGGGTGCACTGATCCAGACTAGCGCGCAGGATCCTGCAGGATCTTGCAGGACCCTGCGAAGCCCGACTGACCTGGGTTTGCTTTGGCCTGGGTCAGTAGACCCCCCTTCGCGCCCATCTCGTTGTTTGGCTGCGCGATTGACCCTTCGCCAGAGTGGCCTTCAGCGCGGCCCACAGGTGTCCTGCAAGCACTGGCTGTCAGGAGTGGATGGCCTGCAGGTGGCCTCCCCGGCGGCCCCCGACAGCCGCGCACAACCTTGCCCAGGGTCATTCTTGCGTGTAGCCGACTTCAGTGCGCGGCCAAGGAGGGACACCTTTTTGCATGCGCCGCCAAGGGTGCGCGGCTGCCCCTCCCCCTCGCACCCTCTCTTTTTCTCCCAGCCCGCCCCTCTCCCCCCTCCTCGCGCCTTTCCCCCCCATCCACTTCGCCTCCGCCTCCCTTCGCCGCCACTCCCCCCCGCTTCAGAGGGGGTGCGTGTGGAGGGGGGGGAGAGAGGGGGCGGCGGGCGGCGAAGGGGGGCGGGAGGGGAAAGGACAGAAGAGCAAGTTGGGTGCGCTTGCGCCGCATCTGGCATCCAAAAGCCTGCTTTTGTTCATGCCCCAGGATACGGTGGAGTCTCATGCCAGGAAACACCCTGCTTGCCTCCAGGGTGCCCTGGGTTTCTTGGGTTTCGATGGTTTTGCTATGGATAATTAGTGTGATGTTTCCCACGCCAAATCAATGGGCGTCCTGGGGTCTCAGGGTTGGGTTTCTTGTGGAAGATTTCTTGTGGACTGGCCTCAACAGTGCCGGGCGTCATCGGGTGGGGAGGTGGGGCCAGTAACGTAAAGGTGTTCCCTCGGTGGGTTTGGAAATGTCTCGGGGTAGTTGATGACAGCGACGCGGAAAAACGGGGTCGTCCGCGCTGACATTGGCGCGTAAGCTCCCCGCGTGAGGCCGAACTGGTGGCCCCGGTAAGCCAGTCAGGTCGCTATGTCATCTTTCGCAAGACCCGTTTTTCATCTTCGCCCAGCTGGCATTTGCATGTCGATGGGGATTTGCCGGACACAGCTGATCTAGGCACAGCGTAGGGGATTGCTGAGAAGCGGGTCTCGAGCAGCGAATGCAGCGCCGGTGCGCGCCGCCACCGTGCGCCCGCGAGCAACACGCGCGGGTGCGACCGCCGGACGGCGAGGCGAGGGTGGGCCGGCCCTACCAAAGCGAAAGCAGGTTTGCGACAGCAATTTTGCTGTAACCTCGCGATTTGCGCCCGCCGTGGTCACGAGCGCGTGGACGCAACAAGCTGAGCAGCACCGTGGTCGCGAGAGCATGGGCGCAGCAGGCTGAGTAGCTGCTCCGCCCCGGGATGGCTTGAGGGCCCTGGACAGCGGTGGAGGCCGTGCGCGCCAGCCTCGTCGGGGCGCGGTCGCCAGATGAACGCGCGGCTTGGGACAACGAGGACGACGTCGTCCGTAGGCTTCCAGAGGCGTCCAGGTAGTGTCTACGCAGGCACCGTGGTGCGCACAGGCATTGGGGCGTCGTGATGCTTACATGTCTGCGGCAACATCTGTGTTGTGCACAGGCGCTGTGATGTACACGCACGGTGGTGAACACAGGCGCTGCGTTGTTCATGGCTGCTGTGGCGTACGCAGGCACTGTGTTGTACATTGGCGCTGCGGTGCGCACGCACGTTGGTGCAGCAGTCCTGGTGGTGTACACAATCATTGTGGTGTACACAATCATTGTGGTGTACATGCGTTGCTGGTCATACATGCCTTGTGGTGTATATACCGTCGCCGTGGTGTACACAAATGTTCCTGCATCATGTGTGCTGCGTACACTCACAATTGTGCACACGGGCGCCATCATTGTGTACGCAGGCGTTGCGGGCCCCAAACAGGGAACCTTCTCTGGTGCAGAACAGCAGCTAATCACTTATAACTGTAAGATTGAATTTGGTACGTTCGGGTTCTCCACGAGTTTCTGGAATGTGCGCCCGTGACGAGTTCGGTGGTGCACGAAGGCCTAATGATGCACACATGCGTTGTGGTGGACATGTTCCGTGGCACACCCATGCACACACATGGTGATGAAGCAGCAACTGTGATACACACGGGCGAAGTTGCACGGGCAGTGTGATGCACATAGGCGTTGCGGTACACACGGGTGTTGTGACGTATGCAGGCATTTTCTTGCTCACGTTCTCTATATGGTGCGCACGTGGGTTCTCCGGGCATCATGTACAAACTCTGCGCGGTGTGCGCAGTCATCTTTTGGCATATAGGCAACGCGCTGACACAGCCAACGTGTAAACATGGATGGTGGTGCGCACAAGCAATGTGGTGTGCGCAATCAGTTGTGCACGAAGTCCTTGTTCCCCAATCAGTGCTTGCAATGAGGGGTTCTGGCGGATCTTTTAGGATTTGGCGAAAGTTGGCGGCCGATTTCGGTGGGCCGCCGGGTTCCCAGGTTTATGGGTTCCCGGGTGGTTTCTGGTCGATCTCCTTATCGATCGGTCTCATCATCGCTCTCCTTATCCACCTCTATCGATCTCATGATCGTTTTCATTATACCAGAGATAAAGTGAATCAGTGGATGGTTTAAACTTATGATATGGAATTGGATATCGATTTTAGCATCGATAGTGAGATCGAACGTGGAAACGATAGTGAGGACGATAAGAAGGCTGATCGTGAGACCGATAGTGGAGTCGATTTAGTGAGATCGCGAGTGAGACCGATCGTGAGATCGCGAGTGCGATCTACAGTTATATCGATTGTGAGATCGATATGTGAGATCGATTGTGAGATCGATGGTCAGATCGATAGCAAGGGTGATGAGATCGATGGTGATACCACTTTCGGTTCTTGGATGGTTTTAAAATTCAGATTGAGATCGACCATAGGATCGGTAGGGATATCGATTGTGGGATCGGAGGTGGTCTCACCATCGATCTCATTACCCACCTCTTCATCGATCTGACTATCGATCTCACAATCGACCTGACAATCGATCTCACAATCGATCGAACTATAGATCGCACGAGCGAGCTCACGATCGATCTCACTCTCGATCTCACTGAATCGACTTCATTATCGGTATCACGAACGGCCGTACTATCGTCGTTATTGGAGTGGCCTTCGGCCAGTGCCGCCGATCCGGGGCGCTCCGACTGATGTGATCCTTCTTCGCCCTCGTCCCTCCTCTCTTTTTCCCTCCCCTCCTCTTACTCAGCATTTATCCAGTGGCCGTCGGCCTATCCCGCCACCGTGCGTGGGTGGTGGGTCAGAGGCCTCATGGATGCTGGTTGGGATCTCGTGGTTGGCTGGGACTTCTGGGGGCCTCTTGGGCGCCTCTTGGGGCTTCTTGGGGGCCTCTTGGGCCTCTTGGGGCCACTAGAGGGCCTCTTGGGGGTCTCTTGGGAGCCTCTTGGGGCTTCTTGGGGGCCTCTTCTGCGCCCCTTGGGGCCTCTTGGAGGCCTCCTCGGAGCCTCTTGGTGCGGGAGGGGTGGTACTCGAGTTCGGAACCCCCTCGGAGGCCACGATCCTTGTGAGGGGTGTCAAAAAACGCATCCGCCGGAAACTCGCACCCCCCCCCCCACACCCCCCCTTCCCCGGCAGAGCCACCCCGGCAACCCCCCCAGAGGCTGAGGCTCAGCCTCGAGGCTGTAGCTGAGACTCCTTGAAACTCACACGCCGGATCGGCGGATTATCGCCTCCGATTTCGATCTCATTATCGATCCTACAGTCGATGTCAATGCCCATAACATTAAATTCCAAACCATCCACTGATTGGGTTTTTTCTGATAGAATGAAGTGCACAGCCACTTTGGTTTACTCTGGCACGAGGCACTGCGGTGTGCACAAGCATCGCGGTGTTCAGAGGCACGGTGGTGCACACAGGTATTGTTGTTCACACCGGCGCATTGGTGCAGGCAAGCATTGTGACATTCACCGGCGATCTGATGCACGCAGGCATTGTGGTGCACAGGTATTGTGGAGTACCTGCAGGTCCTTCGAGCGGGCATCCTGTGGCGCGCCCAGGCACTACGTTTGCATCCTGTGGCTACTATCGGCGATTCCCGCTGCGTCTTTGCACCCCTGGCAGGTCCGAACCTACAGGCTAATCCGAGTTGTCCTTGGCTATTCCGCTGCACTCCCAGACGTCGCTGGCGCGAACTGTCATGTTACCTAGGGGACGGGCGCGGCAGATGACGGCCGTTATCGCGGGGAATACAAAAACATGTTGCAAGTCATTCACACGAGTTTTGTCATTGCGTCGGATCGTGAGCGGAACAGAGGAGGGGACATCAACCAGGAGGGATCAGTTCAAGTATTGTGGCCCGCGCTTCGGCGAGAGCGTGACAGACGGAACCCATGTACCGATCCTGAAATGTGGCTACCGCTGCAGCGGGGACACCATTTTGAAAGCCGAAGATATTCCGTCCGATAGGCAAACACAAACAAGCAATGATTATGAAACACATCTTGATTTCTTGTGTGTGTGTGCCCTACGCGGGAGGGGGTACCGATCGAATCCAGCGGCCTCTAGCAATTCCGTCACCGTGCCAGCGCAGCATTCTGATTTGGGAAGGCCAGGGGGCCTGCTGGAGGCCTCTTTGGGCAGAAAGCTCAAAGTCTTAGTCCGTGCTCCTACTCGTGGGCTCTTCTAGGGGCCGTCGCGGGGCTGTCTTGGGCAGTCGTGGCCGCCTCGTGGGCCGTCTTGCAGCCCTCTTGGGCCGTCATGGAGCTTTCTTGGGGGTCTCTGGAGCCGTCTCGGGGGAGTCTTGGGAGCCACTTGGGCCGTCTTGGAGCGTCGGAGGCTCGAGAAGTGTAGATGCAACAAGACAGTCAAATCACCTGTATGGAAAATGACTTGTTTTCGCCCCTCTAGGCCGTCTTTGGGGCCTCTTGAGGGCCTCTTTAACTTTCTTGGAGCCTCCTGGGTCCTCTTGGGGCAGAAGGCTTGGATTTTTGGTTCGTGTTCACCCACTTGGGCCCTTCTTGGAACCGTCTTGGGACCCTCTCTGGCATTCTTCAGCGCCTCTTGGCCAGTCTTGGAGCCCTCTTGGGTCGTCTTGGGGCCCTCTTGGGGAGCTCTTGGGCCGTCTTGGGGCAGTCCCGGTGGCCTTTGGGGTCGTCTTTGGATGCTGGAAGCTTGGAAAGGCGAGAACCCGAGAACAGGCTGAACAACCGACAAGAAACCAATGATGTTTGCCTCTCGAGGCCCTCTTTCGTAGGTTCTTTTGGGACGCCTCGTGCTCTGTCTTGAAGCTATATTGTGCCGTCTTGAGGCCACAGGGGGTCCGTCTGAGAGCCGTATTGGGCCGTCTTGGAGGCAGCTGGGCCTTGAGAGCGCTGATCCTCCGTATGTTGCGAGAGATTGTGGCCTCGAGTAGGAGGAGGTGGTGCACGCGCCGTGGCGCTTCCCGAAGGGTGGGGGGGCTCAAAATATTCAAGGAAGCGGGGGCCTCTTGGGGCACCACCGTGGCCCCTGGCACGCTCGAACGTGCCAGGGGCCACGGTGGCGGACATCTGCTTCTTGTTCGTTATCATTTGTATGATTGTTCCGTGTCTGGTTTGATTGATTGTTTCAATCGTAGTGGGATGTGTTAGGGCGATGTTCCAAGTAATCGGGACCATGGCCTCCACCTTTCAATGATTGGCATTGGCATGTTACCTTTGGATTGAGTCCTGTTACTATCGGGCTGACATGAAGGTGGTCCCGATAGGATCACAGCCAAATAAATAAGTAAACCTCGATGTCCAATTCAGGTGAAAAACTAGGCTCCGTAGCCATGCGGACTCAAGCCAAGAGAGAAGACGATGAGCATCCCACCTCGGGGTTCCCTGCGGAGGAAGGCTGGAAATCTAGCTCCCTCGTCGCCCGATTTTGTGAGATTCAGCTGCGCTCGCTCTTGCGCCGAATTACAGGGACGCACTGACTGTGACGTCGAAGACGATCTGCTCACTGCTGCGATCAGGTCATGCCGACGAGCACATGATTGGCAGCAGGCTTTGGCACTGGTTGAGACTTCGTACAAGCGCGGTCGTATCCCAAGTCGGTTCGCATTCACTGCTGCCGTGGTCGTTTGTGGGAAGAGCGCGACTTGGCAATCGGCCATAGGGCTTTTAGAGAAAATGCGGCTTAGGCAAGGGCAGCTTGACGACATAGCCTTGTCGGCTGTGGTGCATGCGTGTGTTAAAGGCAGCGCTTGGCAGGCAGCTCTCAGAAATCCAGAGCTCACATCGTACTTCGATAGCAGCAAAGTCCAGAACTGGAGTCGAGCGCTTCGGCAAAATTCTTGGGAGGTCGCGCTGCAGACGCTCCGGATGCGCCTGAACGAGTTGCCATCGAAAGCGACCTTTCGGATTGTGTCCACCGTAACTCATGGGGTTGTCATTCAACTCCGCAGTCTCGTTCGAATGTCGCTCTCCGTGGACGAAACCACTGCGGCTGCACTGGAGCGACATTTGGGCTTGGCGGCGAGAGCCGGGGTGATGGCAAACTTCTCAGACGAGGGTGCGCGGGCTGGGTACACATTGAAACATTTGCCGAGCCGCACCCAGTATGTCACAAACACGTTGTTCCGAGCGTCGCAATCAAAGTCTTGGCTCAGTGAGACTTTGCGCAGTCTTCTTGTAGGGCGACTCTGTTGCCAGGTACTTAGCATAGGTGGCGGGCCAGGCTTCGATTTTGCAGCCGCTGTTCTCTTGGCGATGTGGCTGGCTCCTATGGGAAGCCACCGCGTCACGATCCATGCTTGCATTTTCGATTATGAACCTGGTTGGGCGGTCTGTGCCGACGCCGTGAGCAGTGCTGTACGCCAGAAGTTCGGACAGCACAATCGCAGCAGTTGTGGTTTTGTCGACATCCGGAAGCCCCTTGCGCACCCGAGCAACGCACCATTCAAACTGGCCGCTGCAGGTCAGGAGGGTCAAATGCTCGTCGTGGCCTCGTACGTCGTTTCTGAGAACGCGCGGGAGTTGGAGCGCACCAGGTTCGCTTTCTTCGAGGAGCTTTTTGCCAGTGCCTTGCCTGGTACCTTGTTCGTGTTCATCGACACCACCCATCGCGAGTGGCCAGACTTGCTGGAGGCGGCGTTCCGGGGCGCGTGGCGATGTGGCCGTTCGCTGCTTGCCGAATTGCGCCGCGTGGAGAGTCGACGATCTAGGTCTCACGCCCTCTTCCTCCGGGTCGACCCAGAGACTCACGAGCGGCCCCAAGGCCAGAGTGCAGAACAGGCGTTCGCGGCGTTCGAGCAGGCCCTCCCCGCAGCCGAGCGGATGCTGTGGGCCGAGTTCCGGGCCCACGCCGCAGCCCACGGCCGTGGAATGAGCCAGCGGACTTCGGCCATTTCGTGTTGAAGACCTTCGCGTCTCCAGGACTTCGACAATCCCCAGACGTTTGAGCAACGTGCCTTAGCTGCTATCTTTGGGACTTGAGGCTCCGCAGCGCATGTGGGCTTCACGTTCACCAAGTATCGGGGGAGAGGAGCGTCGCGTCCACGATGAGCAGTTGTAGGGTGCAGAGGGTGAGGGGAGGGAGCGGGACAGCGCGGGAATAGGAGGGGGGAGGTGAGCGAGGGGAACGAGGCGAGGGAGGCGAGAGGGGCGAATGCGGAGGAGCGGTGGAGGAGACTTCGAGACCCTCCCTCCTCGTGTCTTGCTCCGGCTTCTGCTCCTACTGCTCCTCCCCATCCCTTCCCTGCTGTTGCTGCTCCCTCCCTCCTCCCTCTCTCCTCCTCCTCATCACCTCCCTCTCTCCTCTGTCTCTCCCCCCTCCTCTTCCTCCCTCCTTCCCTCCCTTGTCCTCCTTCTTCCCTCCCTTTCATCCCTCTCTCCTTCCCTCCCTTCACTCTCTTCTGCCTCCCCCTCTCCCTTTCTCCTCCTCCTCCCTCCCTCCGTCCCTTCCCCTCCAGGGCTCCAGCAGCACGCCCCATGGTTCGAATGGCTCACCGCATGGCAGTGGGCGACTCCGTGCTGGCCAGGTTGGCCGGCGAGGACGCCTCGCCCAGAGCATTCCGGGAGGAACTCGGAAGGAGTCGGGCTGGACGAAAGGGGGGGTTTGGGAACGAGGGGGTTGCGAAATTGCTGCATGCAGCCGGTTTCGGCCCCACCGAGGGGCCCATTCCTCGATGCATAGGCGCCGGGAGGCGCCGGGAGGCGCCGGGAAAATCAGCTGCGTCAGCTGATTCTCAACCCCCCCTTTGCTATCCCCCCCTTTCGCCCGACCCGAAAGAGGGCTTCTGGGGCGGCTGTGCGGGAGCGGTAGAGCACAGGGGGGACAGGGCAGGCAAGGGCAGGCGAGGGGGCGCGAGCGGGAGGGAACACGAGCGTTTGCCTGTGTCCGTCTGTGTCTGTGCCTGTGTTTGTGCTCGTGCTCGTGCTCGCGCTCGTGCTCGTGCTCGTGCTCGTGCTCGTGCTCGTGCTCGTGCGTGCGTGTGTGTGTGTGTGTGTGTTTGTGTTTGTGTGCGTGTGTGTGTGTGTGTGTGTGTGTGTGACAGCTCAGTGCAGCCCAGTGCAGCTCTGTTCCGGCACTGATCCCCCCGCCCGGTGCAGCTCTGTTCCGGCACTGTTCCGGCACTGATCCCCCTCGGTGCTCGCCCCACCCGCCGCCGGCAGCTCTGAGTGGCCCGGCTTCCTCTTCCTGTCGCGCCGGGGCTCCTCCTCCTCCTCCTCCTTCCGTGCATCGCGGCCTTACTTTGCATGCATCGTGTCCCCCGTTGCTATTCCGCCAGAGCAGTCGCTTTCTGCCCAGTCGTTGACGTAAAAAGTGTGTGTGTGTGTGAATATGTCTGTCTGTGTGTATGTGTGTGTGTGCGTGTGTGTGCGCGTGCGCGCGCGTGCGTGCGTGCGTGCGTGCGTGCGTGTGACACGTGTGTGTGTGTGTGCTGTGTGCTGTGCTGTGCTGTGTTGTGCTGTGTTGTGTTGTGTTATGTTGTGTTCTGTTGTGGTGTGTGTGTTGTGCGTTGTGCGTTTTGTGTTGTGTGTTGTATGCTGTGTGTTGTGTGTTGTGTGGCGTGGCGTGGCGTGGAGAGGTGTGGTGTGGTGTGGTGTGTGTCTGTCTGCGTGTGCGTGCGTGCGTGCGTGCGTGTGTGTGTGTGTGTGTGTGCGTGCGTGCGTGCGTGCGTGCGTGCGTGCGTGCGTGCGTGCGTGCGTGCGTGTGCAGTGCGTGCGTGCGTGCGTGCGTGCGTGCGTGCGTGCGTGCGTGCGTGCGTGCGTTTGCAGTGCGTGCGTGCGTGCGTGCGTGCGTGCGTGCGTGCGTGTGTGTGTGTGTGTGTGTGTGCGCGTGTGTGTGTGTGTGTGTGTGTGCGTGTGTGTGTGTGGGAGGGGGGCGGCCAGGGAACGCGAAGCATGCACCTGCACTCAGCCCAGGCCAGGCGGAACTCTGGACCCCGCACCGGTGCCCCCTGATTCCGGAGACCTCGGAGGGGCCATGCCCCGGGCTCGGTGCCCCAACTCGGCCCCTCCCTGGCGGGGTGGAGGCGAGGTGCGTCCAGAAGCCTTCTCCTCCTCCTCCTGTTCCTTCTCCTCCTTTTCCTCCTCCTCCTTCTCCTCCGTGTCCTCCTGCTCCTCCTCCTCCTCCTCCTCCTCCTCCTCCTCCTCCTCCTCCTCCTCTTCCTTCTCCTCCTCCTCCTCCTCCTGCTCCTCCTCCGTGTCTTCCTCCTCCTCCTCCTCCTCCACCGGGCAGCGCGGGCGCGCGCGCGGGCCGCGGCGGCCGCGCTGCAGGAGCCGAGGGCGCGGCGGAGTCCCCTGGCATGGGCGCCGACGCCGGCTCCGCGACGCCGCCGAGCAGGCTGCGCGAGTACCTCGCGAGGCGCGGGGGGGGGATAGCCAGGACCCCGGGCAAGGGGACCCGGTTAGTGGTAGGGCCATGGAGCCCTTGAATTGGCCAGAATCACTAAACCAGATCTGCCGTAGCTGGTGTTTTTCGGGTGACGGCAGCTCCAGTGAGTGGAACGGGGCGGGGGGGCGTCCCCGAGTACACATCACTAAACCAGGTCCCACTAAACCCAGTTCTGCCAACGCCCGAGCGGGGAGTTCAGGGGGGGTGCAGGGTTCGCTTCGATTCCTCCGATTCGATCCGGTTCGAATTCGATGGGTTCCGATTCCGATCCGGCTCGACTTCGGATTCCGATGTGGATTCCGGTCTCTCAATGGAGGCCCACTGGCCTGCCGATCTCCGCCGATTCGATTTCTCCCGACTCGGTTAGCGATTTCCGCCGATCCGATTCATTTCGAGCGCCGATCCGATTTATCGATTCGATTATAGGCTCTTTCTGTGATTGGGGAAGGTTTGTTTTCTTCGCGAGTGGTCTGTAACACAGATGCGAAAGCTTGGACGTGCAGCGGCAGCGCCAAGTGTCACAGGGTAACCGCTAGAGGTCTTTAGGTGCCCCCCCTGTTTTCTCCAGAAGACTCAGAAGACGACCGGCGTACTCTGGGACACTGTGGATTCGGCAGCGTGAACGTGCGAGGACAATGGCTCAAGAATTGGGCAGCCAAAGAGAAGCTCCGCATCATAAACACGTTCTTCCATAAGCACGCGCACAACCTAACCACGTACACATCGCCCCAAAAGCAACAACATCAGATCGACTTCATCCTGGCCAGCAAACTCGTATGGAGAGCAGCCACCGACTGCGAGGCGACTACAGACATCGATCTTGGATCAGACCACAAAGTACTACGATTCACCTTTCGGCTATCTGGACAGCCACGACGACGCAGCACGAAACCAGGGAACACGCCGCACCTGCATGGACAACGGGCGAAACGACGGACCGAACGTCTCATATGGCCACCGGAAGACATCCTTACCAACCAGGAGTCTCTCACAGAGAGGCTGGACGCACTACTGCTCGACACCCAACTCCAGCTCAAGTGCGAAAGCATCGAAACCGCCATTGCTGGAACATTATCGGGGCATTCGCATAGCATCAGTACCACCGAACACGCCACCACACCAACGACAAGGGGCAGCTCACTTGCGCAACTATTGATACACAGACGGAACACACCGACCACCGACACTACAGCACGAGCACACCTCAACAAGAAGATCCGCAAAGAACTCAGGGCTGTCAAACGAGCCATGCGCCGAGCCGCAATCGACCAAATCCTCACGCAATACCGGGACCACGAACGAATCAGTGGTATCAAGAGTTCCAAAAAACATGACATGATCCCGGGAATGGTCGATGCCGAAGGCCACGCGCAACGCGACAGACAGACCATAGCAGACGTATTTGCTAACTGTTATGCGGATTTATACCGTGATGCGCAGAAGGGCACCCAGCAGCACCACGGGCAGAACGAAGCTGAACAGATCCCTCCCTTCACGGACAGCGAACTAAATGTCGCACTTCGCCAGCTGAAGACAAACCGCGCGCCAGACACCAACGGCATAGTGGCGGAGATGCTACAGGCTGGTGGAGACACTCAAGAGAGTCATGCTGGACACGTTCAACAACATACTACGTTCAGATTCACACACGCCCTGCAGCTGGAAACACACTGTCATCAACGTATTACACAAAAGCGGTGACCCGATGCGGCCAGCCAATTACCGACCTATCGCGGCTATGCCGATGCTCGACAAACTCTTTTCCAATCGCTTGTCCAGCCGCTTGTGTATTCAATCCGACTGCCATCAGAGCCGGGACCAAGCTGGCTTCCGACCCAACAGGAGCACAACCGACCATTTATTCACAACGGATGTTCTGATAGAGATGTCGAACGAATGGCAAGTACCTCCCTGGATGGCGGCAATCGACTTTAGGAAAGCGTTTGACAGCGTCACACACGCGGCCATATGGAAGGCTTTAGAAAACCAACATGCACCTCTTCCATACATCACTCTGCTCCAAAAGTTGTACCACCGACAGACGGCCTCGGTCAAGACCGACCGCTTCAGCAAGGAATTTATTTTTGAACGTGGAACGAAACAGGGTGATCCATTAAGCTCACTATTATTCAACTGCGTCTCAGAGTATATAATGAGAAGGGTGAAGGGAAAGATGGGCAGCCAAACGGCGCGGTGTCTCACTACTACAAAACGGCGACGACCTACTGAACAATTTACGATTTGCCGACGAAATCTTCCTCACTGCGCGATCAAGCAACGACATTGCAGGTATGCTTTCTGACATCATCACCGAAGCGGCAGACGCCGGACCATTACTATACCCAGACAAGACCAAACCCTTACACAACGGACACAGGCCAAAGCGAGCACGACATCAACCAACCCAAGTCTTCGTCCACGACATGAAGATATAATTTCGCCCACTTTACCGAGGTACAGAGTACTTGGGACGCACGCTCCAATGCAGCGACAGTCACAAGACGGAAGTGGAGAACCGCATTGCTTTGGCATGGAGGAAATTATATTTGTTTAAGAATGAATTTACTGGAACACACTATACACTGAACAACCGTATCCGGCTGTTCCACGGGACGATTACTTCCACTATGTTGTATGGATGTGAGGCATGGACGATGACACAGGAGCTCAAGAATAGGATTCGAAGGGCGCAGCGACAAATGCTCCGGACGATCGTCAAGACACAGCGACGAAAGCTAGCAACACGCCGCGTACCAGAGCGAGAGCAGGACGCTGCCAGCGACAACAATGCCAGCGACGGGAACGACAAGGACCCCAACGATTCCGGCACCGACAGCGGGGGAGATGTTGACAGTGGGCCACCATCCGTATTACCAGCTGGAGACGACCTCGAGGAAGCCGACCTGCTCGAGCCCTGGCCAGACTGGATCAAACGAGCAACCTTGCATGCGGACAGTACTATCTCAAAACTATTGTTAAACAGCGCAATTGGGAATGGATGCGAACTGTTGCCACCAGCGCTACAAAAAAATGGGCACGATCGGTTTTACAATGGGAGCCCGGGAGAGATGTGCACGTGCAGACACATCGACGAGTTGGCCGCCCCATAACAAGGTGGTGGGACGATCTATTACAATACGCACGGCAGTACGTGCCAGATGCACCACATACGGTCGCAGATTTGCTGCATCTTGCAACCACGGATACTTGGGACAATATCGAATCAGGGTACCTTGCGCAATGAGTGAGCCGGTGCGTCTTAATTAATCATGTTCTCTATGATTCACGTACATGTTGTTACGTAGTTGTTCACATACTGTTTTGTCCTCTCTCCGTCTTCAGTGTGTTGCCTCCCTCTCTCTCTCTCTCTTTTCGTTCGCTTGTGACGCGTCAACCCATGTGTCACCCATAGCGGCGCCCCGGCGCCCCCCTGCTGTGCCCCCGCGGCACTTCGGCTGCAGGCCGAATGTCCGAATGTCCCCTGTTCTCTCGGTGGCGACTAGGACTCGTTCTGAAACCTCCTGCTCCTCTTCCCTCCTCTTCCCTCCCTCCTCCTCCTCCTTCGGAAGGGCACGAGAAGGAGGGGGAGGAGGAGGAGGAGGAGGAGGAGGAGGAGGGGTAGGACGAGGAGGAGAGAAGGAGAGGGAAAGAGCCAGAGAAGGAGGTCGCAGAGAGCGACAAAGGGAGGGCAAGAGCGCGAGGGGCGAAAGGAGGGGGGAAGGACCGAGTACAGTCGGACCGAGGTATAAGATCGAGGTCGGTTCGGGCAGGGTGCCCTGATGTTTTTTGTGTTGTTGGATGATGTTGTGCATCCCTGGGGGGAGTACCATAGGATGTTTTGTGCAGGTACTTCCCGGCCGCTACTTCCCGGACCTCGCCCGGGGCGCATTTTGACCAGGATTTGGAAGCGAATCCAGCGGTGACAACGAGGGCCTCCCAGGAGGCCCAAAAAGGTGAGAACGAGAGAAGGGTACAGTGGATACCCATGTCACGAAGCACCCTGCTTGTCTCCAGGGTGCCCTGGGTGTCTTCTTGGGATTCGATGGTTTTGCCATGGAGAGCGTGACGCTCCCACACCACAATCCAGGGCCTCCCAGGAGGCCCAAAAAGGTGAGAACGAGAGAAGGGTACAGTGGATACCCATGTCACGAAGCACCCTGCTTGTCTCCAGGGTGCCCTGGGTGTCTTCTTGGGATTCGATGGTTTTGCCATGGAGAGCGTGACGCTCCCACACCACAATCCAGGGCCTCCCAGGAGGCCCAAAAAGGTGAGAACGAGAGAAGGGTACAGTGGATACCCATGTCACGAAGCACCCTGCTTGTCTCCAGGGTGCCCTGGGTGTCTTCTTGGGATTCGATGGTTTTGCCATGGAGAGCGTGACGCTCCCACACCACAATCCAATGGACGTCCTGGGGTTTCAGGGTTGGGTTCTTTGTGGGAGGTTTTTTGTGGACTGGCCTCCAGTGTAGACCCAGGAGGAGAAAACACACAGACACAATTCATCGTCGATTCCCCGAAAATCTGGGAAAGTATGGGCAGTGGGGGGGGACAAAAACTTAGAGAATACGGGAAACTGTCGGGGCATTCGTTTATCTCTGTGTGTGTATGTGTGTGTGTGTGCGTGCGTGCGTGCGTGGTTGTGTGTGTGTGTGTGTGTGTGTGTGTGTGTGTGTGTGTGTGTGTGTGTGTGTGTGTGTGTGTGTGTGTGTGTGTGTGTGTGTGCGTGCGTGCGTGCGTGCGTGCGTGTGCGCGTGCGTGCGTGCGTGCGTGCGTGCGTGCGTGCGTGCGTGCGTGCGTGCGTGCGTGCGTGCGTGCGTGCGTGCGTGCGTGCGTGCGTGCGTGCGTGCGTGCGTGCGTGTGTGTGTGTGTGTGTGTGAGAGAGAGAGAGAGAGAGAGAGAGAGAGAGAGAATGTGTCCCGGGGCCCCGTTTATAGACGCACGGGTGTTGTTCCCCCCCCCCAGTGAGTCTTGCTGGCACGCCGTGCGGCGCCCCGTGCCCGCGCCGCGCCCCCGCCGGGAGGCCCGCCCGCCTGGGCCGCCGCGCCGTGGACGTGTCCCCGGCGGCGCGGCGGCCGCAGGAGGCCCGCCCCGGGGGCGGCCCCCGCGGCGGGGGGGCCCCGCCGCCCTCCCCCGGGCCTGTCCTGGCTGCCTCCCTCCCTCCCTCCCTCCTCCTCCTCCTCCTCCTCCTCCTCCTCCTCCCTCCTCCTGCCTGCCTGCCTGCCTGCCTGCCTGCCTGCCTGCCTGCCTGCCTGCCTGCCTGCCTGCCTGCCTGCCTGCCTGCCTGGCTGCCTCCCGCCCTCGCTGCCGCCGCCTGCCTCCCTCCCCCTCCTCCGTCGCTGCCGCCTCCTGCCTGCGTTCCTCTCTCCGCCCCCCCTCTCCGCCTTGCACGCGCTCCGCTGGCTCGACAGCCGTCTGAGGCTCCTGCTCGCTTGTGCCAGATCGCTGGAGCCAGGCCGGGGAAATATCCAAGCTTTTACATGCCCCAACCAAGGACTTTTACGATCACCCGCACCTGTTTCAGGATCTGGCTCAGCGTGTCAAGGATCATGTGCACCGGATAGTTGATTGCCCTTCTTTCACTGGCCAGGACCACCAGTGGCAGGAAGCGGGACAGGACATCCTCGATGCCTTGAGTGAAGCTCTCAGCACTCACTCGGCCACCGCCCGTGCTGAAGCCGCCGCCAGTTGGAAGGAGTGGTTGTGTGATGAACTCGAGGGAGGGGGTAAGTGTGCCCACAATTAAACCCGCCCCCCTGTCGCGTGGACCCCCACACACCGTTTTCCAAAGGGAAAGTTTTGGCCGACCTTAAAAGCCTTCTGCAAACGGAGTGTGCTCGGTTCTCGGGTGTGGCGGGCCCAGGATGCTCCCACCTCTGGGCCGAAGGGGTACGTGCAGTATTTGGACCCCCTTCCTTGGATCGACCCCACCAGTATTCGACAGGCTTCTCGGTCGTACAAATCGTCGTCGGCGGTGGGCGTTGATGGATTTCAGTTGAGACACTTTAACGTTCTTAGTGACCCTTCCTTCTACGTTCTCATGACTTTGTGGTCTTTTGTGGAACGTACTGGTATCATTCCCAAGCAGATCCGAGTTTTGAGTGTTGCTTTGCTCGAAGAACCGGCGGGGGGGGAGACCTATTGGAATTTGTGCAGCTTTTTATAGAATTTTGGGGCGTTTGAGAAGGCCACCAGAGTTCACAGACCATACCTTGCTGTATCAGCCTTCGCAGGTGCTGGTGACGTTGTCTGGCGTCAGGCGCTCCGCTCAGAGTCCGCAGTCTCCAATTCGCAGGTCACTTGCAGTGTTCTCTGGGGGTTAGCCAACTTCTTCAAGACCATATGCCTAACCAAGCTCAGAGATCGCTGCAAACTCCTGGGCTTCCCAGCGCAGATCGCCATGGTGTTCCTGAGTATGGACCGGGGACCGCGTTGTTTGACCTTCGGTGCTATGGTGCAAGGCCTTTTCTATGCACTTAGAGGAGTCAGTGCGGTCAGCCTTGTCTATGCACGTGTGTCGGCCTAGTGTTAAGTCGGGCGTGTCCCTCTACAGGCAAGATAGTGAATAAATTGTCTGGGGACGATGTTTCGACTATTTTTGAATATGTTGGAGTATGTTTTGACTTTGTTACTTTTCGTCCAACTCCCTGTAGGGGGAAAGGCCCGACCGAAGCGCATGTCCCTACCCGCGGCCTCGCGGGCTGGGCCCCTGGGCCGCGGCCCCGCGGAGAACCACGCGGCGTGTTCTCGCGGATGCCCCCCGCGCAGAACGCATCCGCGCCACCGCGCATCCGCGGGGTCGCGCCCCGGAGCCCAGGCCGCGAGGCCGCGGACAGGAGGTCGCTCGCCGCTCCTGCTGCCTCCCTGGACAGCCCACCGAGCGGCCGAGCGCGCGGCCCCCCCGGGGGGGCTTCCGCGGACCGCCGCCGCCCGAGGCCGCCGGCGCGCCCACCTCCGCGGGCCGCTCCGGCGGCCGCAGGCGCGCGCGCGCGGCTCCCGCCGCCCCGCGCTCTGCCCGTGCGCTGCGCCGCCTGCGCCGCCTCCTCGTCGGCCGGGTGGCCGCCTCGTCGGGCGGGCCGGCGCCTCGCCGCCGCCGCGTCCGGCAGGGGGCCTCCTCGTCGACGCGGGTGGCCGGTTCCTCGCCTCCGCCTCCTCGTCGGGGGGGGGGGGGGCCTCAGTGGGGGGGCGGGGAGGAGGGCCCTCAGGGGGCCCCAGCGTGCCCCTCTGGGCCCCTGCCGACGCCAAGGGGCGCCCTGTGAAGGGCCCCTCGAGGGCACGTTTCTTCACCCCTCATGCAGTTCACCTCCCACTGCCACGCGCCCGGCCTCGGCTCGAGGTTGGGGGGAGGAGGAGCTCGAGAAGGATGAGGAATGGGTGGGAGGCGCCAACTTGGGGTGTGAAGGGGGGCGGCCCACTGCGACATGCAGAGAAAAGGGAGGGAGTGAGCCCACTCGAGGGGTTCGGGCCTCCTCCTTGCCCTCCTCCTGCTCCTCCCCATTCATCCGCCCCCATTGTCCTGCCTCGCCCTCCCACGTCTTCTTCACTCCAAGTCCTTGTCGTCCCTCTGTCCCTTCTCCCCCTCTTGCTCTTTTACATCCCTCCGCCCCTACCCGTATCAGTTTTTGCATGAAGAGCCCTTGCCCGAAGGCTCGATCAGCTGCCTCCCCAGGGCATGCCAGCCAGCCGCCCCATTTCTTCCCCTTCGCCTCATCCCTCCCTCCCTGTACTCCCGTTGCCTTTCCCCGGGTTCCACCTGCCACTCCCTTTCCTCCTCGCCCTCCTCCATCGGTGTGTCGGCATGGCGGGCTGGGCGTTTCGCTTGAGGCTTCCCCACCAGCTTCGATCCAGAAGCTTGACATAGACAACTAATTCTCAAGGATGGATGGCGACCCTTTTCAAAATGTTGCTCTCGCCACAGCGCCTCGCAATTTCGTATGAAAGTCTGCGCCGGTTTCGCGGATGGTGGGCGGGTCCTTGTCAAGATGTGGTTCTCGCCTCCTCGCCGCGTGCATTCGTTTTAAGAGGTGTGCAACAGCTTCTGAGTCTGGAGGACAGCTCCTTTTTCAACGTGTGGTCCTCGCCTCGGTGCCGTGCGCACCCGTCGTTAAAAGCTTGCGGCAACTGCGAGGATGGAGGGCTGCTCCTTCTCAGGGTGTGGCTCTCGCCGCAGCGAGCGCCGCGCCCGCTCGTCTGGAACGCCTGCAAGGGTGTCTGTCGGAGCGTGAATTACCTACCCCGCTTTCGCTTCCAGGCAAAACCAAGTCATACCACGCGCCTCCTCGTCAAGCGGCCTGACCAGTACAGGCCGTAGTTTGGCATCCTTTGGTTTCTCTTGGAAGCGAGGGTGGTCAAAAGCGAGGTAGATCTGTTTTCCCCCTAGTCTGGGAGTCGCACTGTTGAAGTCCCAAGACTGGTGCTCTGGCCCGTTGTTGGGAACGAGCATGTTCTACCGCTGCTGGCGGAAGACCAGGGGGGGGGGTCACTGGGGGTTCCCAACCCGTTCCCCCCCCCCTTGAAAACCAGGGGGGGTCACTACCGGTTCGAACCCCCTCCCCCCAGTCCATCACGAAAAGGGGGTTTTGCCAGGGGGAAAGGGGGGGGGGCATTTTCGGAGGGGGGGGGGGGGGAACCCCGGGTTCTGGAGGAAGAGGGAGGAATTTTCCATAGTAAAGCGGCGGTGGATCACGTTCTCTCATTGTTGGACTGCCAGGGCGCAACTGTCATGTTGGCTCGCGGAGTCAAGGTCACCCAAAAAGGCGGTTTGGCACGATTTGGGATTGTCAGGACGCAACACTCGCGTTATCCCGAGAGTTGAAGCCCCAGGATTCGCCATTTGTCACGTATGAGGATTATCAGACGGTTGTCCTCTGATGGGCCACTTCTCGCAATGAAAGGGCCTTTTTATGGAGAGGGAATCTGGAGGAAGGGTGGATTGCAACGTCGTGGATGCTTCTTGGGTTTGCATTGGTCCTTCTCCTCCCTCTCCTCTTCCTGTGCTCCTCCTCCTCCTCCGCTGCCTCCTCCTCCTCCTCCTCCTCCTCTTCCTCCTCCTCACCCTCCCTCCGCCCTCCTCTTCCTCCTCCTCTGATCTCTGCCCTGCTTGCAAATGCTGTGCTGGAGATGGTGCGTACTGCAGCGTACAACCTTCTATATGCAGACTACGACAGACACCAAGAAATCAGCAGGGTGTTGAAATCGTGGGACTCCGTGCTACTGGCGGGGACCCAACATTCGGCAGAAAGGGACTACCCACGCTCACAAGTACAGCTGGACCACCACTGGGGTATCAGGCTCGGCAAGGGTAGGGGACGACACTTCAACAAAAGCTTCGGGGTATCCATGTTGATGGACAATGGGTACAGCAAAGCTTCCCTGAACGAGGTCTTTGACCCGCCAAGGGGGATCCAGGGACGTGCTGGAGCTGTGAGAATTCGCACTGCGCAGAAGGACCTTCTGATTGAAGCCGTGTATTTTGCCCCTTTCACGGTGACGGACACATGGAGTGAAGAGACGGCCGACCGTATCTGCACCTGACCGGGGGGACTGTATGATAAAGCGGGGGTCAGGGTAACCCTGGTCGTGGGCGGAGACATCAACAGTGACTGCGGACTGGCCAGGGATGAGTCTGGAGTGATGGGCAGCACGCAGGGACGGGAGGTCGGCAGGTGTTACCCTAGATGTAAGATCTCCAACGGTGCACGTTTCAGGTGGTTCCGCTCTGACAACCACTTGTTCATTCCAGGCACGGACAGTTCGCTGGTGCAGCAGACCTATTTCGGATCCAAAGGAGGAGGAGGAAGGAGGATAGACCATTTTGCGATCCCTGTAGGTGCTCGAGGTTAGGAGGGGCAGTGCTGTGTACCCATGAATTCTGAGTCTAGGCTGCAGGTGAGAAGGAGTCGGTTCCCCAGTGATCACGTGCCCATCGGATTCCAACTCCCACTGGGTCTAGCAAACAGGAGCTACACGAGGCTGCAGCACACACCACCGCTGGATAGGAATGCTTCCATGCGCTGCCTTAGAGAAGGAGTGAGGAAGGAGGAGTGTTTCAGGAAGGTGGAGAAGGTGGCGAAGGAGACTGAGGAGGAGGTGTGAAAGGAGGCGGCAGCAAGGAAGACCCCCGACGGCCGTTGGGACCTGCTCGGAGGAGCGGCGAGGACGGCCCTCAAGGATGCATTCCCTCGACGGCGCAGGCAGCGGCCGGCATGGCAGCAGGATCTCGAGGAGGCCAGGATGGAGCTATTGGACAGAAGGCGAGGATTCAGGCGGCGTGCGGGGAGCCTAAATGAGGAGCCGCAGGAGTATGAGGAGGTGCTGCAGCTTCTGAGTCAGATTTCTGCCGAGCTGAAAGCAAACAGGAATGAGGAGACGAACCGGCGACACAAAGATTTGGCGTAGGAAATCTGGGAGGCCTACCTGGATGGGAGATGGGCCGAAAAATGCATGCGCTGCGTGTGGGGTCCGCTCGAGACAGTAGGGCGTCCCAAAACAACGATACTACTACAAGAGTTTGACCAACTGGAGCAAGGAGGGGTGGTCAAAGGAGCTAGCGAGGAGCCCGACAGGAGGAGGAATGGCGTGCAAGACGGTGAACTGGGAGGAGACGCGTGACGCATACGAGGAGAAGTGTGAAGAGCAGGGGGCAGTTTTGTTTGATTGTGCTGACTTCAGGGAGCTTCTGCGGCAGGACAGATACGCGATGGAGAAATATCCCAGGCGATGCAAACAAATGCAGGGCGTGGCCCAGCTGGGGACTACCAAGCGAAGCATCGCTGATGCTACCATCACCGACGGTTTACATGGAGCAACCACACCAGCTGCCGGAAGCAAGGGAGAGGGCGGACTGCCAGAGCCGAGACCGAGGAGGAGAAGGAGGAGCCACAGATGCTGCAGGAGGCCAAGAGGATGAAGAGGGGCAGGAGGCGGCTGAGCAAGATGGGCTGGAGGAGCGGAGAGGCGACAGGGAGGAGGCAGAGGGGGGAGGGAGAGGAGCCACAAAAAGCTCCTCCTCCTCCTCCTCGTTCTCCTCCTCCTGCTCCTCCTCCTGCTCCTCCTCCTCCTGCTCCTCCTCCTTCTCCTCCTCCTCCTCCTTCTCCCCCTCCTCCTCCTCCTCCTCCTCCTCCTCCTCCTCCTCCTCCTCCTCCTCCTCCTCCTCGAGCACTGGGCATTGGACGTGCAAAGGGTGCCGGAGTCGGCAGCGATCGATTTGCACGAGCTGCGCCTTGACACACATACACGGAACCATGCGGTAGTCCGCGGAACTGGCTGGTAAAATGGATTACGGAGCGGGCGGGCAACGACCGAGGAAAAAAACATTGTACTCATACAGGAGCTCGCCTCGTGGTTCCGGGCAGGCACCGCGGTCCGGCGGAAGGGGGCGAGGAGGGGAGAAGCAGGCAGACGACGACGAACGCCCAAGCGGGAGGCCAGGGCCGGCGGGGCGGGCGGGCAGGCAGAAAACGGGCCAGGCGGAAACAGCAGGCAGGAAGCAGGAGGAAAAGAAAGGGAGGGAAGCAACGAGCAGAAGCGGAGGGAAAGCAGGGGGGAGGAAGAGGAGGAGGAGGAGGAGGAGGAGGAGGAGGAGGAGGAGGAGGAGGAGGAGGAGGAGGAGGAGGAGGAGGAACAGCAGCAGCAGCAGCAGCAGCAGCAGCAGCAGCAGCAGCAGCAGCAGCAGCAGCAGCCGCAACAACAGCAGCAGCAGCAGCAGCAGGGCTGGGCCAGGGGCCAGGCGACCCGCGACGAACCTACGGACACTACGGCGGCGACAGGGGGGCCGGTGGCAGCTCGCCGCGTGGCTCGTGCAGGCACGAAGGGCGCAGCGCACGCCGCCGGGCGCCCCACGTGCGCGGAGCTCCGCCTCCAGCAGGAGCAACGGGAGGCCGGGGACTGCGGGGAGGACTCGGCATGGCTCGGACGTGCGCATTTTTCCTTCGGCCAGGACCATCGAGGAGCATCCTTGAGCATTTCGCGAAAAGACCACGCACGAAACCGAAATTACACGACCGAGGAACCCCACATACTTAGTTTATGTCACGTGTGTTCACGAACCATGTCACATCTCGCTTCGCCATCCTGACGAGAGACTGACCAGACCATCCAGATCAGCCAGACCAGCCAGAGTGACCAGACCAGCCAGATCATTCGTTCCAGCCATAACCAGCCAAAGTAATCAGACCAACCAGCCAGGCCAATCAAACCGACCAGCCAGGCCACCAACCGTCGTTCATCTCCGAGTACCTCGCGTAGAGCGTATCGGGCCTCCAATTGTGAAGCTGGCGGCGGTACGCATTCAAAGCGGAGTGCACCACTCCGTTGGCGCATCTGCGGGAGGTCTCCACGCTAACCTCGCCGCCCATCTGAACCATTGCAGTCTTCATCGCCAAACATGGAGGTGACAGCACGTCCACGGCGATTTTGGGAGGCATGGCTGCCGCGCCTCGCGGGCGGTGCTCTGAAGTCGGACTACAGGAGCGCGCCTGCGTGAGAGCGCAGGCGCGCCGAGCCGGCTTGAACCAAGGTGTTTGCAGTTCTTGACAAGATACAAACTCCCACCCCCAGCGCAGCCCACGTGGCGTCGAGGAAATGCCACGCCTGCCACGCCCTGGGAGCCTGCAGCGCATTGGGCCCCCACCCCCAGCGCACCCCGTGTGGCGGCGAGGATACGACACGCCTGCCACGCACTGGGAGCCTGCAGCGCGGTGGGCCCCCACCCCCAGCGCACCCCCTGTGGCGTCGAGGAAATGCCACTCATGCTAGGCCCTGCGACATTGGCGCGTGTAGAGACCGCGGTGGGCCCCCACCCCCAGCGCACCCCCTGTGGCGTCAAGGAAATGCCACACCTGCTAGGCCCTGCGACATTGGCGCGTATAGAGACCGCGGTGGGCCCCCACCCCCAGCGCACCCCCTGTGGCGCCGAGGAAACGCAACTCCTGCTAGGCCCTGCGACATTGGCGCGTATAGAGACCGCGGTGGGCCCCCACCCCCAGCACACCCCCTTGTGGCGTCAAGGAAATGCCAATCTTGCTAGGCCCTGCGACATTGGCGCGTATAGAGACCGCGGTGGGCCCCCACCCCCAGCGCACCCCCTGTGGCGTCGAGGAAACGCCACTCCTGCTAGGCCCTGCGACATTGGCGCGTATAGAGACCGCGGTGGGCCCCCACCCCCAGCGCACCCCTGTGGCGTCGAGGAAATGCCACGCCTGCTAGGCCCTGCGACATTGGCGCGTATAGAGACCGCGGTGGGCCCCCACCCCCAGCGCACCCCCTTGGCGTCGACCACGCCTGCTAGGCCCTGCGACATTGGCGCGTATAGAGACCGCGGTGGGCCCCCACCCCCAGCGCACCCGCTGTGGCGTCGAGGAAATGCCACTCCTGCTAGGCCCTGCGACATTGGCGCGTATAGAGACCGCGGTGGGCCCCCACCCCCAGCGCACCCCCTGTGGCGTCGAGGAAATGCCACTTCTGCTAGGCCCTGCGACATTGGCGCGTATAGAGACCGCGGTGGGCCCCCACCCCCATCGCACCCCCTGTGGCGCCGAGGAAACGCAACTCCTGCTAGGCCCTGCGACATTGGCGCGTATAGAGACCGCGGTGGGCCCCCACCCCCAGCGCACCCCCTTGTGGCGTCGAGGAAACGCCACTCCTGCTAGGCCCTGCGACATTGGCGCGTATAGAGACCGCGGTGGGCCCCCACCCCCAGCGAGGTGGGCCCCCACCCCCAGCGCACCCCTTGTGGCGTCGAGGAAACGCCGCGCCTGCTAGGCCCTTCGACATTGGCGCGTATAAAGACCGCGGTGGGCCCCCACCCTCATCGCACCCCCTGTGGCGCCCAGGAAATGCCACGCCTGCCACGCTTTGAGGGCCTGCAGCGCATAGGGCCCCCACCCCAAGCGCACCCCCTGTGGCGTCGAAGGAATGCCCTGTGGTGTGCTATGCTGTGCTGTGCTGCTGTGCGGTGAGCTCTGCCGTGCTGTGCTGAACTGAGCTGAGCTGAACTGTGCTCAGCTGTGCCGTGCTGAGCTGAGCTGAGCGGAGCTGAGCTGTGCTGAGCAGTGCTGTGAGGAGGAGGGGGAAGAGTGAGGTGTGTGAGAGAGAGAGAGAAAGAGACGGAGAGGGAGGTGGGCGGGTGAGACGCGGGTGCGGCGCGGCAGGGAAGAAAACCAAAACCCCACGAAACATGCGGGGGAAAACGCAGGAAATGGACGTCCGAGCGATGGCCAGAGGAGGTTCATGCATAGCTGCTGCTCCTGGGGGCCAGCGTGGCGCGCAGGGGGCCGCGAGCGGGCGCAAGGGGTTGAATGGACAGGCTGGGCCCGCGGTGGCCTCCGACACCGGCCTAGGGAGAGCGCGCCGGTCATCCTGCAGCCGGCGCGATCGAGGTGTCGGCGGGCAAAGATGTCGCACGCCACGACCAACGTCGACTGTGCAAATGCGTTCGCCCGTACGCGTAGAGACGTCCCAGAAGACACGGTGGCGAGCCGATCGGCTGAGGAAGATGCGACGTTTGCGCTGGGAGCAGCACGACAGCAATCCATGAACATCGCGGGGAGGGGCGGAAGCAGACGTGATCAGCGCGACGGGAGCGCAGATGGGGTTTTGTTGGGCACCGCGGGACTTCGACGATTGGTACAACCCTGCGGTGGCGGCGTGGCTGGCAGAAGATGGGAATGGACCAAACGGACTACTCAAGGCGTTTTGTCTTGCGACGGGGAGATACTACATGGTTATCAGTGTGCACATTCATGGATGACGTCACGGAGCTGCATGCATGGGTGGGGGAGGAATCTAGCTGTGGCGTTGCGGTTGAATTGAACCTAGTGATTACGAAGTTGGAGGAGAAGGCGCAGGAGGGGGGCAGCTGGTCACGTGACCCGTCAAGGACAGGGCACATGCTCTGCAACCCGGGGGAAGGGTGGCAAAGCACGGCAGGGAAGCTCGGGAGCACGGCGGGCATACTCTTGGGAACCAAGGCGCGGGAGTTCCAGGCACTCGGACCCTGCCTTGCACACGACGGGTGATATGGGAGTAGAGGTGCGGAGGAGGACAGGGGCGGCGAGGAGGGCGTGGAGGCTCGCAGGAGTTTCCTGGAAGTCCGACGCGCCCAGAGAAGTTCGCCGAATGATGTTCGCTGCGTTTGTGCAGGGAGCGGCCCTGGGCGGGCTCGCGAGCATGGCGTTGAAAACCAGGCAGACGGATGCGATCGACACGGCGCCCTGTAAGATGCTGAGGAGTCTGGACCAAAGTATTTGTTCGTGGCAGCAAAGGGACGGGGCGGTTCGCCAGCATAGCAATGAGGAAAGCGTCCTGAAGTTGAAGATTACCCGCGCTGCGACGGAGCTTCGAATTAGGATGCTGAAGTGGTATAGGAAGTGGGCAGCGTCTCCTGAAGCCCATGGACAAGTGACAGCTGCAGCGTGCGGCAGGGGCCCCAGGCGCAGCATCCGCATCCGCATCCAGAGACGCGCTCGCCCTCGTGCCAGCTCAAGGATCGGCTCGAGGCGAACGGCAGGCGGCAACTCCAGACTACAAGTACCAGCGCAAGGGAGGACGCGGGGAGGACACGGACCTGGTGGAGGCGGTGATGTCCCTGCGGACGTTGGGGCTACGACAGGGCATGCTGCCACGCGAGCGCGAACACATGCTACGCCTTGCTTATTAGGTGGACAAGACAAATAAGACGGCCAAGACAAGATCGGCCTGGAGGCTGGGTTGTCTTCCTACGCGGCGGTGGCGAGAAAATGCAGGGGCGCGGGCTTGGCTCGCCGCGCGCGCGCGCGGCCGCGGGGGCGTTCGACGGGCTTGTCGAGGACGCGGTAGAGGGGCTGCACAACTGAAGGCGTACCAAAATCTGCTCCAGGGGCCGAATTGCCCGAAGTTCCTGATGGAGCCCTTCGGCCGCCTTCGGGTAAAGAGGAGGCGTCGAGCGAGGAGGGCACGCAGGAGGACAACAGCAGGGTGACGATCAGCCTCAACATGAAACGGGGGCGGACGTGGCGCTGCTGCTCGAGCGCTCCAGGACGGAAGCGGAGGGCGAGGTGCCACCCGTCGGCATCCTGCGGAGGGCCGTGGCGGAGGCGCGCGAGGGCGCCGGCGGCAGCAGGAGCGACGGGCCAGCACCCCCAAGGGCGAGCCGACCAGGGCGAGGGGAGAGGCAGCCGCACGGGCTGCAGGCGCTGAGCCGGTCGGGCGACGGCTGGCCCCGAGCGTCGTGCGGCTTGCCGGAGGGCCCACTTCAGACCGTGCCTCGAGCAGAGATCGCGGCGTTCGCTCGCGCGCTGTAGAATCCGGCTGGCCGCATCCTGTTCGTCACCGAGCGCCTCCCGCTGCTCTCGGGGCGGCGGGCTGGCAGGCAGGAGCGGCCGCGCGCTGGCGCTAACGCTGACCTGTGGCAGCGTGTCGCCCGCGTTGCTGGCGATGTCGAGGCGGAGGCGTAGGATGGCACAGGGAGGGGTCCAGCGCGCGAGACGCCTGCTGGCCATCGCAGGGGGGACGAGGGATCTGCGGGGTCTCTCGGTTGTGAAGCCTGGTCCGAAAAACAGGCTCGCCTAGGCCAAGCCAGCCGATCCCTTTCTCAAGCAGGTTCGTTGATCGTTCGCCCGTGCTTGTTTTCCGCCGTGTGGCTTTCGACCTCTCGGTGGGATGCCGCGGGAGTGTGGGGGCACCAGTGCTCGCCGCCCGCGGCCCAGAGCACCCGCGGGTTTCCAGACTTCCCACAGAGAGGGGGAGGGAGAGATCAGCGTGAGCGGGGCAGCTGCGCTCAGTGGAGCAGCCGGCCCCATCGTCGGCACGAGGTACGACCTCTCCTGTGCCGACGCGGCACCGCGTCAGCGCCAGTCGAGAGGCGCAACGGCGGGCCCCGCAGGCCCCGTCCGACGGCAGTCCGTGCTTGAAAGCGGGGCCACCCCACATTTCCGCAGATCATATCAGATCATACCATGTTACCATATCATATCCTCCATCGCCCTCCTCCTCCACCCTCCTCCTCCTCCTCCTCCTCCTCCTCCTCCTCCTCCTCCTCCTCCTCCTCCTCCTCCTCCTCCTCCTCCTGCTCCTCCTCCTCCTCCCTCTCCTTCTCATCCTCCTCCTCCCTCTCCTCCTTCTCTTCCTCCCTTCTCAACGACGGCGGCCCCCGGCGGGAAAGCCTGCCGCCAGGCGCGGTCGGAGGGGGCCGTCGTGAGAGCAATTGGCCGGGGGCCCCTGCCGCGCGGGGCGGGGCGGGGCGGTCGAGGCGGCGGAGGAGCAGCAGCGGGGAGGAGGGAGAGAGGGGAGGGGAGGGAGGGATGGGGAGGGGAGGGGAGGGGGGAGAGAGGGGAGGGAGGGGAGGGGAGGGAGGGGAAGGGAGGGGAGGAGGGAGGGGAGGGGAGAGGGAGGGAGGAGGGAGAGAGGGGAGGGAGGGGAGGGGAGGGGGGAGGGGAGGGTCGACAGGGCGGGTGCGGCCGCAAAAAGACCCTCACAGGAAGCCCAACCTTGAAAACCTGCGCGCGGGGTGCACTCGAGGAAAAGCCGGGAGCATCCCGAACGCAGCAGCGTCTGCAACGGCTGCAAGCCACCGCGCAGCACGCGCAGCGAAGAATCTGATGATAGTTTGACGAAAAGCATGTGGCTTCTTGAGGCGCGCCCCCACTGTAGGCCTCCCAGGTGGGGTCCGAGTGGGATGGGGTCGGGGGGCGCGCCGCATGACCGTTGCATCGGCGAGGCGGCTCGATGCGGAGCTCGATGTTCTCCACGCCGACGGCGCCGATGCATCGCCGACATCGCCGATGCATCCACCATGCATCAGCGATGCGGCGCGACCCTCCCACCCCACCTATTCGGACCTCATCCAGGATGCCTCTAGAGGGAAAGGGAGAGGATCGGCGGCGAGCGATGGGTGGGAACGGAACAGGAGCAGGCCTTTTCAGAAGGCCCGTAAATCCCCCGGCCTTCTGAGAAGTTGCCCAAGCCTCCTCGGAAAACACAGAGGACTTCTCAGCGCGAGGGCTTCTGAGAAGTCCCGCCGCCATCTGAGAAGGCCTTTTCCTTGTCAGTTCCCCCTTCGCCCGCCGCCGAGAGGAGGGAGAGGAAGGTGAGGAGGGAAAGGAGAGAGAGGAGGGAAAGAGGAGGGAGAGGAGGGCGGGAGGGCAAGCTGGGTGCGGTCGCGCCTCGTCTATCAGCCTATCCCTCCCTCCAAACCCTTCCCGTGGCGCTGATGTGTCCGTATCCGCGGACGCGTGCCATAGCCGACGCGCGACTCACACAGAAAGACCACTTCGTGTTATGTGCAATCGGAAAGTGGGGAGCTGCGTGCACAGGAGGAGGAGGAGGAGGTGGCGGGTGATCAGGAGGATGAGCGGGAGGAATAGGATGAAGACGAATAGCAGCAGCAGCAGGAACTGAAGCGGAAGGAACGGGAGGGAATGGAGGACCAGGGGAAGGCGGAGGAGGGAAATGAGGGGGCGACAACGATGAATCCATATTCGGATTCTGAAAAGTGGCCCTTGCTGGGCCGAGACGAACAGCATCAGTTGGAATTGGAGTTGAAGGAGCGGGAGGGACAGGAGGACCAGGGGAAGGCGGAGGAGGAGAAGTCATGAGCGGGACCACAATGAAGCAATCTTCGCGCCATCCTGAACGATTGGAACAACGTCCCGTTCCAAAAATGAGGCCCACGCTGCAGCGAGAACACCTTCTTGAAACACCGAAGACAATTGTATGGTTTGAAGTCGGGTGCGTAAAGAAAACAGCACGCGGAGGGGTCGGGAGATCTTGCGCACAATTTTAGGGGAGGAGGGAGAGTAGTATTCAGACTGTTTAATTATGGAGGGAGAGGTGGAGGATGAGCAGGGGAGGGGACGGGGGAGCGATTGGAGAAGAGGGTTGATGAGAATGTATGAATCGAGGAAGGGGGATGACGAGGAGGAAGAGGAGTGGAAGGAGGAGTAGGGAGGAGGCCTGGGCGGAAGTTGGGAGGAAGGAGAGGCGGACGAGGAGGAAGATGGGGAGGTGGGGGGAAGGAGGAGGAGGAGGAGGAGGACCAGTGTAAACCCAAGGGCCATCCATGATGTTAGAGTAAACCCTCCCTCCTGGCTCCCTCTTCACAGGGCCCTACAACGGTTCAATTCCATTGATGTAACTGCCTCGTTGGAAGACACCCGCTTGAAGACCCTGAAGCATGCCAAAACATTGTTCTCGGGATTCCAAGTCCTGAACCTTTCCAAAACACCATTTCTGGTACGCCGATGATGGGAATAGGTGGAACTCTTCAAAGTTTGCTAAACGAATGTGCGCGGCGCTCAGGCGAGAGCCACATGTTGAAAAGGAGCCGCCCTCAATCCGTGAAGCTTTTGCAAATTGTTGAAAACGAATGTGCGCCGCGCTGAGGCGAGAGCCACATGTTGAAAACGACCCGCCCTCGATGTGTGAAAATCTTGCAAAAGTTTAAAAAAGAATGTGCGCGGCGCTACTGCGGGAGCCACATTTTGAAAACGACCCGCCCTCAGTATGTAAAGCTCTTTCGAACTTCTAAAACGAATGTGCGCCGCGCTAAGGCGAGAGCCACATTTTGAAAATCACCCCCCCCCTCAATCCGTGAAGCTCTTGCAAAGTTTTGAAACGAATAGGCGCCTCGCTAGGGCGAGAGCCACATTTTGAAAACTACCCGCCCTCAATCCGTGAAACTCGTGTTGTAAATTTAACAACGAATGTGCGCCGCGCTGAGGCGAGAGCCACATTTTGGAAACCACCCGCCCTCTATCTGTGAAGCTGTTGCCAATGTCTCAGCTTCAGAGGCATAAATGGTGAGCTTGTATCAAGCGAAACGCCCAGCTCGCCCTAAACACTGGCCTCGGGGTGCGACAGGGAGAAGTTTTGTGTAAGGAAAAGGAATAGAGGAGGCGGGGGAGGGGGAGGAGGAGGAGTGACGGGTCGAGGAGAAGGAGGCAGACGGAGAAGGAACATGAGGTCGAGGAGAAGGAGGGAGGATTGGGAATGGGGCATGTGGATTGCGAGATAGGGTCGAAGAGGAGGAGGCAGCGGAGAAATAGGACGAGGGAACCGGAGCAGGAGGTGAAAGAGGACAAATATGGGGGAGGCCAGGGACAGGGGGGAGGAGGAGGTGGACGAGGAGCAATAGGAGGGAAGAAGCGACGATGAAGAGTTCGGGGCGGGGGGAAGGCGGGGGCGGACGAGAAGCAGAAAGAGGTAGATGAGGAGGAGAGGTGGAGGAGGAGGAGAAGCAGCAGCAGGAGTGGACGGAATAGGAGGAGGACGAGGAGGAGGAACTGAGGAGGAGGAGGGACTGAGGATGAGGAGAAGGAGGAGGAGAGGAGCGCGAGGAAGACGTTGACGGGACGGGAGAGGAGGGATTACGCACCCGTAACTCATTCACAGCGTCTTATTACGTCAGCAATCGCATGGGTTCCCAATGCCCTTCCCGGTTCGGGGCCGGGTGCAAACCATATTTGATTTAAACGTGTCCGTGTTACGTTCAGTTGTATATGTATTCCGACGACGTGCATGGAGTGAGTGATGACGGAGGAGAAAACACGAGAGAAGGGAGCACAAAGCATGACGATAACAGGAAGGAGGGCGGGAAGGAGGACGGGAGAAGGAGGCGGAGGAGGGGGAGCACGAGGAGGAGAAGGAGCAGGTATCAAAGAAGGGGGACCAGGCCGATGTCGAGGACGAGGGCAGGGGAGGAAGCAGAAGAGGAGCCGGAGGAGGAGAGGCAGGGGAGGAGCAGGAGGAGGAGCAGGAGGAGAAGCAGGAGGAGGAGCAGGAGGAGGAGGAGGAGGAGCAGGAGGAGGAGCAGGAGGAGGAGGAGGAGGGGGGGGGGGGAGGAGAGGAGGAGGGAGGAGAGGGAGGAGGAGGAGGAGGAGGAGGAGGAGGAGGAGAGGAGGAGAGGAGGGAGGGGGAAGAGGAGGAGGGGGGGAGGAGAGGAGGAGGAGGAGGAGGAGGAGGAGGAGGAGGAGGGAGGAGGAGGAGGAGGAGGAGGAGGAGGAGGAGGAGGAGGAGGAGGAGGAGAGGAGGAGGAGGAGGAGGAGGAGGAGGAGAGGAGGAGAGGAGGAGAGAGGGACGAGGAGGAGAGGGACGTGGAGGAGAGGGACACGGAGGGTGGGCGTCGGCAGCTCGGAGGCTCCGTGCGCGGCCCGGTGCTCGGTCCGCGGCGCGTACCCGGGCTGGGGGGCCCGCTTGCAAGAGGGGCGAAAGACGGCGCCTGGCGCGGACGAGTCGGTCACTGCTCTGCTCTCCGCTCCTGTCGTAGAGGAGAAGGGGGAGGAGGAGAAGGAGGAGGAGGATGAGGAGGAGAGTGAGGGAGGAGGAGGAGGAGGAGGAAGAGGAGGAGGAGAGAGAGGAGCGGAGGAGGAGGAGGAGGAGGAGGAGGAGGAGGAGGAGGAGGAGGAGAGTGAGGAGGAGAGTGAGGGAGGTGGAGGAGGAGGAGGAGGAGGAGGAGGAGGAGGAGGAGTAAAAATAATAATAAGACGAATATAATAATATTAATAATGATAATAAGAAGAGGAATACTAATAATAAGAATAATAATAACAATAATAATAAGAATAATAAGAATAATAAGAATAATAATAATAAGAAGAAGAAGAATAAGAAGAAGAGGAGGAGGAGGAAGAGGAGGAGGAGGAGAGAGAGAGAGGAACGGAGGAGGAGGAGGAGGAGGAGGAGGAGGAGGAGAGTGAGAGTGAGGAGGAGGAGGAGGAGGAGGAGGAGGAGGAGGAGGAGGACGAGGACGACGACGAGGACGAGGAGGAGGAGGAGAAGGAGGAGGAGGAGGAGGAGATGGAGTAGGAGCAGAGTGAGGAGAGTGAGCAGAGTGAGGAGGAGCGAGGACGGGTTCGGAGGCCAGGGTCCGAGGTGTCAAGGAGCAGGAGGAGGACGGCGAAGGGGGGGGAGACGCAAGCAGGGAGCATAGAGCATGAATTGGCCTGGGTCTGGAAACCTGGGCCTGGAAGAGAAAGCGGCGAGACTCGAGAGGAAGAGGGGACATCAGCCAGCATCGCGGTGCAGCGCGCTCCGAGGTGCCCCGCCCTTGAAGAAGGCGAAGTTGTGCATACGCACGCACGCCCTGCGCCGAGATGCACGAACAGATTCCACCCCAAGATCCGGGCCTTCAGCGTGAGCAGCGGCAGGAGGTTTGACACGAGCCGCAGCTGCTGCTGCAGCTCAAGTGTCGAAGCCTCCATCACGCGCATCTGGAGGTTCGGCAACACGAGGCAAGCTGGCAGCAGCAGCCAGAGGAGGGGAAACGGGTCGAGGATGGGCCTTGCCATCAGGAGCAGGAGCAGGACCACCAAGAGCACTGAACATCGCATGGCCCGTGCGAGACGGCCGAACGCCCACATCGGGATGACCTGCACCCGTCGGCGACGAAATCCGAAGTCTACCCTCGTGGATAAACGATTCAGGCAAATTGATTGTCGGCGGGGGTAGGGTTCGGAATTGGTCGAACACGTGGCAAAATCAGAACCCCACCCCCGCCTTTCATAGATGCAGGATACTCGATGGTTCTTGGGGCTAGGGTTCGGATGTCGCCACCTGACCAGCCTGGCGAACAACTCGAGAGCCCCCACTCAGCGTTGCTGCTGCCAGCGCCGCAACGGAGCCGCCCAGCGATGTCGACGCCAATCTGGGACGGCTGGCCGGCCCCTGTAGCCCAGCGCACCGAGGCACCGCAGAGACAGCGCTGCTCTGCGCACGCCTGCGCTCGGCCGCTTGCAACATGGCGCTCAGCAATCGTGCGGCGCGGCCGTCCAGCGGCCATGCGGGGCAGGGATGGGGGGGGGGAACGGGGGGCGCAGCGGGAGACGAGCCAGCGGGGGGGGAGGAGGAGTTGGAGGAGGAGGAGGAGGAGGAGGAGGCGGAGGAAGAAGAAGAAGAAGAAAAATAAGAAGAAGAAGAAGAAGAAGAAGAAGAAGAAGAGGAGGAGGAGGAAGAAGAAGAAGAAGAAGAGGAGGAGGAGCAGCAGGAGGAGGAGGAGTAGGCGAGGTCATCAGCAGGGGGACGGGGAGGTAGCAGGAGGAAGAGGAGGAGGTGGAGTTGGAGACGCAGGTCGTGGAGGAGGAGGAGGAGGAGGAGGAGGAGGAGGAGGAAGAGGAGGTCGGGGAGTTGGAGAAGGAGGAAGAGGAGGGGGAATAGAGGAAGAGGATGCTGATGCTGCTGCTGATGATGATGATGACGCTGATCATGATGATGATGAGTATTATGAGTATTATGGTGATGCTGATGATGCTGATGATGCTGATGCTGATGATGATGATGATGGTGATGATGCTGATTCTGATGCTGATGCCGATGCCGATGCCGATGCCGATGCCGATGCGGATGCTGATGCTGATGCTGATGCTGATGCTGATGCTGATGATGATGATGATGATGATGGTGGTGGTGATGATGATGATGATGATGATGATGAGGAGGAGGAGGAGGAGGATGATGATGATGATGATGGTGATGGTGATGGTGATGATGATGATGATGATGAAGATGATGATGATGATGCTGGTGCTGATGATGATGAGGAGGAGGATTGATCACGCAAGAGGAAGGAGGACGGAACGACGATGAGGAGGACCGGAGTAAGCCGAGCACACATCACAGATGCTGCCATGCAAATCTCTCCTCATCGCCCTCCCCGTCTTCTCCTCCGTCCTGCTCCGCCCGCCCTCCCTGGCTTGTCCCTCTCGCCCCGTCCCGGGTAAACGCTCGCTGGAAAGGCGGTGGTCTTCTGAGCCTGCAAGGTGAGGGCCTTCTCTCGGCCACGCGCAGGGGGGGAGCAAGGGGAGGGGTAAGATTTCTCAGAAGCACCCTGCTTCCTGGCAGAGGAGGGCCTTGTCTGTAGATGTAAGGCCGGCGCCTTTTTGGAAGCGGACTCCTTCTAAGAAGCCTTCCCCCCTCCCCCTACCCCCCTTGTTCGCGCCGCCATGTATCGCCTTAAGACGGCACATCGGCGGATGGACGCAGTTTCGAACGCAGAACGAGTTGCACAACGTTGTGAACCACGATCAGCTTGAGGGAGCTGCCAGTCCAAGTATTTTGGTATCATGCTGAATCTTTGTGCGGGCTTCTCGGGTTTCGCCGTGCTGATCGTATTGCGCGCCCACGGGGTCTGCATTCCGCAGTCTTCGTCGTCACGGCCTGACCACCAGCCGCCGTTGCCTGCTAGCCCAGATTATGTTGCTGAGCATTTTTCTGCACGCCTCTTCTCTGTCCTCCACCCCCTCTGCCTCCCTTCGTTCCTCCCCGCCCTTGCGCTCACGTGATTCGCCATACGCGAGGGGCTGCCAGCGCCGCTCGGGCGCGTTGGTTGGTGCCCCGCCCGGCTCTCCTTCCTCTCCTTTTCTCCGCTGACGAGCTTACGCCCGAAGCCGACGACGCCTCCGTCGACGTCCTGGTGCACACACATATATCGACGTTTGCGTGTTTTGCGAGCGGTTGGTGATGTCCCTGCCGATCGTATCCTGCCGCCGCTGGTATCTCGTCTTCGCCTTCTGCCAGCTGGCCTTGATCCTCGGCGCGGGTAGTTTCTGGCCGATTCCTCCACTACGACGCGGAACGCCCAGGCTGTAGGGGGAAACGCCCGACATAAGACTAGGGTGGGGTGGATATCATGGCGGGGGCCATGATATTTCCTCAGATCTCATGGCGCCTCTTCTTGTCTCACTGCGTCCCCGGCCCCCCCGCTGGGCCGCGCACACGCCGCCTGCCATGACCTGCGCCCCCCCCTCTTGGACACCCTCCTCCTTGGCCGCTCCCGAAGAGCCGTCTCGGCCCGACGCCGCCCCCCCCCCTCTCGCCTCGGGCGGGCGGCCGCGGGGGGAGCCCCGCGCGAGGGGTGGCGCGCAAGAAGGGGCCCCAGGAGGCGCCCCCTCTCGAAGGGGCCCCCCGTTGGGCGCCGGCGGGCGCCCGACGAGGGGGCCCGGAAAAGGGCCCCTGCCGGATCTCTGCCTCCTCGCTCCCCGCTAAAACAGGGCTAGGATCTGGATAAATCGCTCCAGAGCGTTCCGGAGCGCTCTCAGAGAGCGTTCCGGAACGCTCTGGAGCGGCCGCGGCGCCCAATACATCCTCCAAACCCGCCGATTCTCAGAGATTTCGAGTTATCCCCATCCGATTTTGTCCCGATCTTCGCGTCGTTTTACCCGCTCGGGCCGCCCCCCCGGTGCCGCCCGCCCCATCGCCGCCGCCCCGCGCCGCGGCCTCAGCAGGGAGGCCATGCCGCCCAAGGGGAGGCCCGCGTCCGCCGACTCCACGTCCGCCGAGGCGCGCCCCGCGCTGCCCCCGCCTTCGGGGCCTCGGCGCGTGCTCTCGTCGCTGCTCGGCGGCTCTCCAGCCTCGGGAGGCCCGCCAGCGGCCGCGCCGCGCCGAGAGCATCCTGGGGGTGCCCGGATGGTTCAGAAGGGCCGCCAGAGAGCCGAGTCAGGGAGGAGGAGGAGGAGGGAGAGGAGAGAAGGAAGAGGAGGAGAAGGAAGAGGAGGAGAACGAGGAGGAGGAGGAGGATGCCACTTGACGCTGCCCAGGAGGCAACCTGAGGGAACAGAGACGGGGAGTGCTTACTCACCCATCCCTGGCACGGCTTCGACACTGAGCCCTTTGAGCTTCGGGTGGAGACCACGACACATGAGCCGCCAGCGATCCTTATCATTTCGGCCGGTGAGCTTAGGATCGCAGGGGCGGCTCAACCGATGCACTCTCCCGAGACAGGTGTAGGCTTTACAGCTGACGCAGACGAAGAGCTGGGAGTGATCACTACATTGCAAGGCTAGCATGCGGTGACCTAAATTCGACATTTCTTGCACAGCTGGCGGTGGCTCCCCTCGGCATCCACCGTCAGGATGTCGCACGAAGGCAGCACATGCATCTCCACACACCGCCGATCCATTCCCATTGGTGATCGAAACGAGGCGCGAGCGAAGGGGGAGAAGGTATGGGAATGGCACGCGTAACTTCACTAAGGTCGAGCTTCGGCCAGCTAAGTAGCACGGCGGCAGCAACTCTGCATACCGTTTTGGCCGACTTCACGATGCAATCTACCTGTGGCCACCCACCCACATTGGCCTGCGGGTGTAGGGTCACTCCGTGGTGTGCCGCTCTGTCGGCGGCATCATTGCCTCGCATGAGAAAGCGAGCCTCCCCCGAGAGGTCAGGAGAGTCCACAGTGTGGGCTTTGCACTTGCGAACTTCTTGCCAATGCGGAGAGACGGTGGAAACAGAATTGCCAGCACACCTCTTCTTGTGCGAAACAACGCAAAGCCTAGGGGGAGAGCCCTGACGACCCCTTCGCAATCCGCGCCGTCCAGAGTGGGCCCCACCAGGCACCGAGCAGAGGCAGCGTACGCGCTGTATTTCACCAGCCTGAGAGGTCTGTGGGAACGGTCGGATGACCGCTCCCGACACCGAGGCGATGACCTCTCACCTTAGAGGTCCACAGAGACAAATCCCCAGCCCGCCCTCGACAGCTCCTTGATGACATGCTTGTAGGACGAGCCGTCACAGAAAACAGCACCAGAAACGTCAACGGGGCCTGGACTGGACCCAGGACCTACAGCAATAAAATGGACGATTCGGCCTTCTGGACAAGGCCTCGATCACCAGTCCCCTGGATGCGTGAAAATACAATTGGAAAAAAAGCAAGCTTGCTCTGTCATTGCCTTCAGCAGTGACTCCTTGTGCTTCTACAATGACTTCCCGTCCATCTGCAGCCTGCCGCTGCTCACTGACGCTCGGGCACTGCCGCAGCCTATGCATTAAAGAGTCAGGAGCAGCTTGGCAAAGCTGGCGCTGAATGCTTGGAAGCTCGTAGCCGCGCTCGCTGGCGCGGTCCTTAGTCCAGGTCCCGTCGCAGGCGATAAATCGAATGCAGCCTCGCTCGATCGGAGAATGTATCGAGCGCCGTAACTCTGAGGCCACGACATCGAAACACAACCTTCCCATGCCCAGCTTGTCTCCCACAGCCCTCTGGTGCATGCTGATTCCTCCCTCGAACAGAAGGTCAGCCACAAAAGCAGACGAGCAAGATGCGAGCTGTGGTCTCCAAACTCGTTGGCCAATTTGTGCCACGCTGGCATGTGCCACCCGGTCCCTTGCAGCGAAAGTCTCATGGCCTGCAGGGGGCTTCGAACATGACGCCAAGTGAGGAGAGGGGTGTCACAAAAATGGTTGCCCACGCTCGGCGCAGGACCCCAAACGAAAGAGCATGCTCAGACAGCCTCGCTTTCGATCCCCAACCCCCCTTCGAAAACTTCAACATCGGAGCAACGGCAGCCCTCCGCGTCCGGTCGTTTCTCAGACTGAGGAGCGAGGTGAGGGAACGCTGGCCCGCGGAGGGTTTGAGGGTGGAGGCGAGGGCTCTGCGAGCAGAGGTGAGTTCGTAGTCGGAGATACAGTGGGCATCGGCGTCGTAGTTCAGCCCTGCTGGTGGCCCTGCCGTGACAATGCGGCAGGTATGCCTCCCGAGCACAGCCTTGCAGCGTTGAAACCTCGCAAGCCGCTGTTTGAAAACCCGACGCTTGGCAGCACGTTTTTTTTCCCTCCGCCCCCCCTCCTTCCCATGCCCGCGGCCTCGTCGACCCCGAGGTTGGTGGCCGAGCCCTTCGATGTGCCAGCCAGAGGCCCTAACAGCTTCTTGCTACGAGCGCCATGAGAGGAAGACGAGCGCGCGAGGGCAGCCTCGTCAAGAGAGATGGGGAAATCCATGCCTTCCGTGATCGCACGGTGGAATTCAGTGGCCGTTTCCATCGCGACTTTGAGAATGGAACGCAAACGAGTTTGGACCGAAAATCCGTAATCTTCGACGCGCACATCTCAACCCTTCTGCCCCCGAGGGGAGAGGAGGTCAAGGGAGTGGATCGGGGGTGGACAGAACCCACGTTTGGGCCTCAGGTCGTTTTCACTAAACCACGTTTTGCTAAAGGGGGGTCTGTCCATCCCCGAGCGGATGATAAAAAGGCACGCGCGAAATTGGTGGCTGCCGAGCAGCCGCCGAGCACTCCTCGAGCGGGAAAACAAAAGGGGGCCCTGCACCATGGAGCTTGGCGTCAAAACGCGCGGCCCTCGACACGTGTTCGGGCAGACCGAGGCGATCTGCCCTGGGAAGCCAAGGCACTTGCATTTTGGCATCGCTCGGACGCGTGCTTTTTTCCTTCGGCGAGGACCATCGAGGAGCATCCTTGATCAGTTGGCGAAACAACCACGCACGAAATCAAAAAAAAACACAGGGGATGGACGTCCGAGCGATGGCCAGAGGCACTTGCGGCGGTCCCTAAGTTTCTGTTCCAACCAGAGGGTCTCGAAGAGCTTGGCCAGATCCCAAAGCTTGGCCAGATCCCATTCACAGGCCGCAGGGTAGCCTGTGAATCGCGCGCTGCGCTCTCGGAGCGTGGCGCCTGGCGCCAGACGCCGTCGCCAGCTCCTGCAAACGCCGGGGCTGCGAGGCAGGAGCGGCGCATGCTCGACTCCCAGCTCTGGAAGACTGGCCGCCGCAGCCTCCCCCAAATCCTGCAGAAGGTTGCAAAACAACCTACGGGTCTCCATCCTCCTGAGGGTTTTTCGAGCAGGGCGACGCTCAAAACACGAATCTGGTTAGGAATCAGACCAGTGCTGTCCATTATCGGGCCATCAGGACACGAGGACGTGGGGAAAGTGGCTACTCAACGCATTGAAATGTCGCATGTGGAAACCATCCACACCGACCGCAGAGGCCACCTCATGAGAACGCGAAGCTTGGCAGATAGTGTCGTCTGGCTCGATCCAAGGGAGGGGGTCCGAATAGGGAACGAAACCTTGCAGGCCCTTGGAAGGAACCCCCTTGGCCTTCCAGAGGCCAGAGAAACGAGCGCACTCCGTTTGCAAAAGACTCTTAGCGTCGGCCAAAACTTTACCCTTGGAAGACACAGTGTGAGTAGAGGTCCAAGCGGTGGGCGGGCGAGTCCACTTATGAGCACGCTTACCCTCTCCATCGATGCCGTCGCAACGCCGCCCCTTCCAACTAGCGGCGGCCTCCGCTCTGGAAGTGGCAGAGTAGTTGTTGAGAGCCTCGCTGAGCGCCTCGAGGATAACCCCCCCTGCTGCCTGCCACTGGTGGCTATGGCCAGCGAAGGCGGGGTCGACAACAATCGTAGAAACGTAATTCTTGATTCGCTGGGCCAGGTCCTGAAAGCCACTAAGGTGATCGCTGAAATCGTTGGGGGGGGGACAACAGCTTGGAAATGCCTTGGGCTCGGCTCCAGCGGTCAGTGCCAGCGCAGACGAGGAGGAGGCGCAAGTTGCCTTCCAGCCAGCGGAGCGCGCACAGGGCAGGCTGCCTCGGCTTGCGGCTGCGGTCCTGGGAGAGGACTGACCTCCTGGCCAACTTGGGCACCTTGCCACGGGCACCTGAGATGGGAAGCTGGCCCCGGTAAGCGCCCTCAAGCTCGGCCTTCGATTGGTTGGCCCAAGGCTCGTAAAGCAAATCGAGATGACGCTGAGTCGAGGACCTGGGGGCCCTGGACCAAACCAAACTCAACGCGTGCTCAGCATAAACCAGGGCCTCGCGCCAGCAGGCCGCTCGTGGGGAAGGGCCGATGGGAAGAGGGGCGGGGAGGGGGTGGGCCGAACGAAAGTAAGCAGCTGTAGGTCGGCAAGGGCTTGGTGGAACGGGACTCGGACGGGCTGGTGCTGCGGTCGAGTGTCTGCCACCAGCGCGACCGACGTGCCAGCAGTGCTTTTGCCGAGCCCTTCGCTGCAAACGAAGTAATCCAAGAGCGAGCCCCCTCCGGCGGCCGTGCTGGCACACGAGATGGATCCCTGTGGGTACGCAGTGTTGGCCGATAGGCCAGCAGCAAAATCACACTCAGCCAGCTCGGAAGGGGGCATTTTCAAGTCACCCCCTATCAGATAGGGGAATTGCAAAGAGCTCCGACCTTGGTAAACATGCCTAAGTTGTACTCCGAGAGTCCTTTGGAGTCCTGGAGGTAGAGCGAGCAATACAATATGGCAACGCCGCCAGGTACCGGGACCGAGCAAGTGGCAGCTCGGCCTGGAATGGAGCCTGGGCTCTCAGTAACGTCACAACAACCTAGCCATTACCAGCCTGGAACATATCCCTATCCCTAAGCTGGGCATCGCCTCATCGCGATGCCAATCTTAGGGATTCTCTTAGTGTTTCAGGGCGCATCCCTAAGATTGTCATCGCCTTTTGGCGTGTCAATCTTAGGGATAGGGATAAATTCGAGGCTGGTGAAGCCAGTCTCGAACCATGATCGCCGCACCCCCAGACGCGCCCC